TAGCCTGGAGATCGGGTGTTCGATCCCTGCATTGGCCGAGAAAGTTCATTCAGACTTTCCGGCGTGGTTTCCCCTTGTCAGTGATGCAGGATGGTGGGCCTGACAAGGAAAGCTGTCTAGTCGTTCGGATGGGACGAAAAACCGAGGTTCCGTGTACACATAAGAGTAGGCCGTAGCGCCGCTGCCCGTCAAAATTTCCCTCATATAGCACACTGTAGTCCATTAGTCCAGGTTAGGAGCAGAACAGTATAGCACGTTAAACCCCATTTCATTTCATTTATTTCCGTCTGGCAAGCTCCTGTTGGTGTTTCACTGAAATATACTCGAGATGACCCCCTTTAAATTTATTGAATTATTAACAATACATTTTAGAGTGTATTGTTATCACAGTGTGAGTTTCGTTATCATACTTCTGGTAATAGTAAATATTAATACAATATGACGAGACAACATATTTTAATATTTGTGTGTTTTATTATAAACTGTGTGAATAGTTATGAAATTCTTAAAATCAAGGACTATAAAATAAGGAAGCTATTATCTTTGAAGGATAACGGCGATGGGGAGCAGGTTCCCGCTGCATATTCACAAGATGCTGTGGAGGGTTTTAAGGATTATTTTGATTCGAGTGTAACACTGTCCGACATTGAGAAACTTAATATCTATAAAAGTTTTAATTTATCACTGCAAAATTCCGAAATGAAAAACAAAAGAATAGAGGTATTCTGTTTTAGTTTTATGTTAATATGTAGTTATGCAGTTATTCAGGCCAGTTTTTAAGATTTTGCAACTGCGGGGGCAAGGGAGGGGGGGGGGGTGAGGCTCTCCCCCTAAATGACCAGTCATTCCCCCGCACCTTAAATATTTTAGCTTCGCTATGAGGGCAAGATTTTCAGTATGGGGGCAGGGGGGGGGGGGGCAGATGCCCCCGTACTTTGGCCATAAAAAATGGCATGCAATTATCTCTCACCGACTGGTTATTCAATTTTACACGCGATAACACAAATCTATATTCGTCACGTTTCTGAATATTTTCCAATTTTGAGTTTTTGCCGCCACACCCGACCTCCAGACTAGCGAGCCAGCGTCTGACCCAAGAATATGAAAATGTCTGCATTGTACCATTGAGTTCTAGCAAAACGACAAATATTGGCATTCGTCACTTCGTCCGATTTTTAATTTTCAGTTTGTCTATGTTAGTTAGTTCACTGATTAAAGGAGAATGGAATGGAGCGTTTTATTAATGCATTGGAAGCGTTTTTAAGTTGTCTTATTCACTCAAGAATATTAGTAAATTGCGTTTTTAATAAATAAACACAGTCCGATGAATGTAATTACTTACCTATGTGTGTTTAATGTTATTTTGTTCATTGAGGAAGGTGACTAGGGTTGAGTATACTGTATACATCTAAACTATTTTTAAGGACACAAATCAAAAATATCTAACTCTTTTAAACCTCGAAATATTGGCCAACTTTTAGGGTGATTTATTAAAACAATATGTTAATGTATTTCGATATGGGCACACTCTACTATCTCAAACTTAAGTATCCAACTTTCCCAAGGCTAACATACAATTATAGACCAAAACGTTTACAATATTCAAAATTTGTTGACAGTTTAAATGAGCTCTAGATTTTAATATATCGAGGGCTGAAAGCCAGAAGTGTCTATCTCCAAAATTGCCAAAAATGAGTTAAATACACCAAACAGTTCGAAATTTCGTGTAGTTTCTCTGCAAAAATTATCTAAGTCCTATCTTTATAAATAATGACGCAACAGAGAAGTCATATATTGTTAAGTACAGAACCACTAATTTTTTTTCCAAGCAAAAAAACGTATCTCCAGATAGAGAGTTCTTGCTGTCATTTTGTTTTGCTACATTAGTGCAAGATATGTATATATCCCACTTGTCCAGTTCTTGCTGATAAAACACTTATATGTTGAGAGTTATTTCCCTTGAATCACTGCCTAAACTGCCTTGTTAATGTTCCAGAAAAGGATATAAAATTGATGTTTTCACTTTTGTGATCTGTTAAAATGGCTGGTAGACAAGGTAAGAGGCACTTAATTTAACTAGTATAACTTTATATACAAAAATAATGTAATATTCCAAAAGTACTTCATTAAAATTTAGTTTAGTCCTTGATGGATATATCCATTTCTTGCTGAAGTAGGCCTACGACCAAGGACAAAAATATGATCACTTTTAATTCATATTAAATGTTACAATATTGATATTTCGCAATTAATAATAAGGAAGTTGAAATATTTTATTGTTTTTGTTTTAGGACGATGTCTAGATGCTACGGAGGCGCTGGAACTATTAGAGGATATGGAAAGCGAATTTGATGATGCTGATAATGACCCAGATTATAAAACGTCTGATTCCGAGGGTGATGACACTTCTTATGTTTAGTTCTTTACCACAAAGAAATCTTCTGCACATAACAAGGCACGAGATGATTTACATGAAGACCAAGACAACACACCAGATGGTAGATAACACACACGATAATGGACAATAAGACAACACACAAGATGATGGACAACAAGACAACACACAAGATGGTGGACAACAAGACAACACACACGATAATGAACAAGACAACACACAAGATGGACAACAAGACAACACCCAAGATGGTGCAAAACAAGACAACACACGCGATAGTGGACAACAAGACAACACACAAGATGATGGACAACAAGACAACACCCAAGATGGTGGACAACAAGACAACACACAAGATGATGGACAAGACAACACCCAAGATAATGGACAACAAGACAACCCACAAGATGCTGGACAACAAGACAACACCCAAGATAATGGACAACAAGACAACACACAAGATGATGGACAACAAGACAACACACAAGATAATAGATATTTTTTTAAAGTTAAATAGTGACAAAACTGAATATATTCTTATAGGATCAAATAATAATTTAAGCAAAATAGCTGATTGTAGATCCATATCTATTGCTAAGTCTTTCATTTTACCTGTTAATTCTGCAAGAAATATTGGTGTTATCTTTGACAAAAACATGAACAATATATGTAAAACTAGAAAATACATTTCACTAGATGCAACTAAATCACTTGTTCGTGCCTTTATAACTTCTAGGATTGATAATTTTAATTCTCTCATTGCTGCTCTTCCTGTAAAACACCTAGATAAACTTCAAAAAGTTCAAAATTGTGCTGCCAGATTGATAACTCTTTCGAAAGAACATGACCACATAACTCCAATTTTAGCTTTTTTACACTGGTTACCCATTAAGTACCACATTAATTTAAAAATACTTTTATTGGTTTATAAATGTTTTAATGGCACTTCACCCTCTTATATAAAAGATTTAATCACTGTATATACGCCAACTAGATGTTTGAGATCATCTAGTGACCCCTTTCTCCTTATACCCATCTCTGTAAATCTTTCTTCTTTCGGAGAACGACCCTTCTCTTTCCAGGCACCGAGACTCTGGAATAAGCTCCCTTTTTTCATAAGGTCAGCAAAATCTATTACAATATTCAAACAATCACTAAAAACACATTTTTATACACAGGCTTTTAGTTAAAAAGATTCTATATATCTTGCATTTTATCATATGATTATGCCATTCTCTATATGTATGTAATTTTATCATTTAAACTTTTATGTACATTTGAATTTTATATTGATTCAATTTATGTTTTTGTAAAGCGCCTCTGAGCATTGCTCTGCAGTGCAAGACGAGCGCTGTATAAATATCGTTTTAATAATAATAATAATAATTCTGTGAGTTAATGTTCAATTTGTTAAAATGTGTTTGAATTACTTGTTTGAATTAAATGCATTTTTCAATGTTTTAAAGTAGTTCATTCATTTATTCATTTCAGTGGCGGCGGTAGCGAATCTAGGAATTTGAAATAGGTGAGAGGGGGGGGGGGCGAATAATTATTTTAAACAAATTTTGAAAAAAAACCAGTGTTTTTATGCTGTGTTGTCCAAGTTTAGGGGGCCTGGGCACCTATAGCAGCCCCTAAATCCGCCAATGCTGTCTAGACAAAATTCCCCTTATAGCACAGGGCTTGCATACTGAATTTCTGACTTCAGTACAGTCTATTCATAACTTGGTATGAGCATTATGCACATATAGCTTCAATGTTGACTTCCCCATATTGGGGGAATTTATATCAACCAGAAGTGTCTATATCCATTATTACGAAATAAATTGAAAACTACTGCAATAACCCTATTGATCATTCAGCATTTGTTGTCAACTATTAATACACACGTAATTACCAAAAATCATCTAAATCCAACAATTACCCGATTTTTAAAATTTAGTCAAACTTTAAATCTTCATTTTCTCAAAACGTCAATTTTGGAGATATGCAGTTCTGGCTTTCAGCCCTCGATATACAACACTAGGCCTGCTATGTTTCGAGTAAATCATATCCAGTAAATGCCATGCCTGTTGTTAAATATCCTTTTTTTACTGATAAGACTGTCGTGCAGGAAGAGGGGTCTGGCAAGGAACAACATTTAGTCGTTCGCATTGCACGTAAAAGAAGCCTTGTGAGCAGGTCGTAGCACCGATGTCCGGGCAAGATACCCTCACTGTGTATTGCGTATGCCCATATTCATTGTCCCAGTAGAACAGTAGGACGTTAAGTCAAAATTTATTTCATTTCCATTTGTTTTAAATAGGGCACCGAACAGATCATACGATGGCACGCATCCACAAACATCTGTTGTCTTGTTAAAACTGTATACAATCACAGGCGCCTCTGTAACATGGAAAATATTTCAAAAATAACATCAAGCTATGACTAAGTAAAGTCTGTTACGTCGATAAAGTTTTTGGGGTGGTTATGATGTACATTTTGGTAAAATTTTGGCCACTGTTTTGATTGATTTGGTGGGCTAAATTAGTGGACTTTGAAGTTGCCCAACCAGTCAGTATCTAAAAAATGCCCGTTATCTATATATATTGTTCTATGTTTTCAGACTTCAAGTCCAGGGAAAAAAATCAGTTTAATGGATATGTTTTGGTCTATGTTTAATTCCGGAATACTTCAAATGGATACAAGTAAATTTTAGTTACATTGATTTCTATTGAATTGGCCGTGCGGGTAATTGTAGTTTGAAATGCTCAACTTTTTCCCAGGTCTTGTTGATGAATATTTTGAGTCAGAATTATAGGAGACGCCCCAGATATTAATACGAACCAATTCAGTGTGAAAGAAATGCTATGACACAAACCTTCCAAATAGCTCAATATTTGAGTTAAAATCTATGAACTCGCATTTACACGATTTGCATACTTAAATTCGCTTCATCAACGGATGTTCTGTGAAATGTTGGAGGTCACCTTTACTTTCATGTCTGTGTTTCTAAACTTTGAGATTCCATTTCTGAGACACATACAGCCTCCACATACATAAAATGTATATACTGTTAGAAAGGAAGCAAAACAAATCCAATCAACTGTCGCATAATTACATTGAAATTGGTTTCTTTACAAATAAACTCATCAACATAGATTATTTTCTATATTTTGAAATTTAAAGATGAATCCAATTCTTAATCAAAGTTCAATGAATCAGCTCGTCTGCATTGCGAAACAAACATGGTATTAGTCCATCCAAATTTATTTACACATAACAATCTCCAGTATAAACGCATTTGTTTCTTTGTCTTCAGACCCTACCCAAAAGCGAAAAGCGCCAGGACTATGGTATAGTATAAAGTATAAACTAGTTCCTGGAAGTATAGTAGAAATTGGTGCATGTTGCACATCAATATATGGAGCCACTCAATTACCAGAGTCTACTGTTCTCGCAATAGTTCAAGGTACACTATGTCAGTTCATTTTTTCTTCTTTTTCTTTGAAAAACGTAAACACATATGACAGAACAGCGCAAAATAAAAAAACTTTAAAAGAATACAAATTCGATCTTTCGATGGGTGTATGTTTAAAGCATTGGTTATTTTGGCTGGAGTTTTAAAGTCTTGCTGCTAAAGCTAAAGCAAAAGCAACAAGAGAAGAGGACTTGTGAAGAATGGTGTGGATATATTTAAATCGTCATAGAAATTACAATCCATTCATTTTCGACTATTTGGGCATTTGGTACATACCCCCCCCCCCCACACCCCGGACTATTATATTATCGTTCACTTACTATTTCATGACCGTGGGAGCCGTGTCTCAGATATGGGCGTGGTAATCCATGTTTTTGCATGAGGAAAAAGATTCCGCCCGGGCCCAATAAAAAAACCCAAACCAATATTTAAATGTGTGTGCAGGGGAGAGGATGGGGTGGCATCCCCTCCCAGTGCTACCGAGTAATGTTGGGCTGTGTGGAACATGCTAAAGTCGATTTCTAGCATATCTAATCCACGGTATATGTTTGACACTGGTCGAGCATTATGATTATGATTATAATGTTTAAAACCGCACTGAAACCGCGTGATGTTTTGCCATTTGTGAGGGAGCTCAAAAACTCAAAACCGTCATTGCGTCCGCCTCACTTAGCCCCTAGTCCTAGGGTTAGCATTGCCGTTTATAACTTTTGACTTTTACTGTTTTAAAGTTGCAATTTCATATTTTTAAGTTATATTTTTAAAATTTATTAAAATAAATGAAATGAAATGAAATGGGGTTTAACGTCCTACTCTTCTGCACCTAACCTGGACTAATTGAAGACGGGCATACGCCATACAGTGTGCTATGAGGGAAATTTTGCCCGGGCAGCGGCGCTACGGCCTACTCTTATATCGAATTCCAACTGCCAAGGGATCTTTTACGTGCACGCCAATGTGTACACGGGACCTCGGTTTTTCGTCCCATCCGAACGACTAGGCAGCTGTCCTTGTCAGGCCCTCCGTTCTGCATCACTGACAAGGGGAAACCACGCCGGAAAATCGAGATGAACTTTCTCGGCCAATGCAGGGATCGAACACCCGACCTCCAGGTTATTAAAATAAAGCCTTAAAAAGATGGTATCTATAAACAGTCCTACCTTGTTCAAGAATAGTCCTATTAATCCTATAATATACTATTAGTATTGCCAGTTGAGAAATTGGCAAAAATATCATTTTCATCTTCAAATTCAAACGTTTGAAGATAACTACTCCATGGTGGAGAATAGAAAACAAGGGAGGTAATTGGGAGGTAATTGTGTTATTATTTCCGGTGTAAATGAGTTTTAAGTGTGAGAATGACACCTATGATCGTATAATAGTGAGTGGACAACCTATTGAGCAAAAGACATAGAAATAATTATGTTTTGACTTTCTTAGAAAATATGAAATTGTAACTTTAAGGTAGGCCTAGGTTAGTGCCTTTTAAAGGTAGCTTGTTCTTAATTGTTCGATGTGACAGTGAGTTCCGTGTACAGACAGAGTATTGCATTTATTTTTTAACTTGACAGTGACATTAGTTTTTGAAAGATTGGTTGCAGGGATGTTATATGAATTAATTATTAAATTAATAGAATTTAACGATGAAAGTTTTGGATGATGGTTGGATAGGTAAATGTCCTCTATGGAGGCTGAATAAAATACGCGATGTTTTTATTTCATGTTTGACCTAGATATTTTTTTTATTTTAAGATGTCATATATACTAAACAGTTACAAAAAAAAAAAAACGTCAGTACGATTTCAAAATCCGAGAGGCACTTTAATCCAATCATTCTAGAAAATGACTTACTAAATGGATCAAAACAATTTTTTGTGAACAATATGTTGACACATTAGTGATTAATTCATCACAATTCCAAGACATTACGAGAAGGTTTAGAGGCTGTACACAGTCTATACATCAGTATCTGGTGTGTTCACCGCGAGTGTCAATAACAGCAGCGCAGCGTCTGTACATGGAGTGGACCAGGCGATTGATGAACGCCATTGGCACCTGGAACCACACTCTCAGAAAAGCCTGGCGCAATCCATCGGCTGTGCTTGGTCTCGGTACGACGTTATGAATTTCATCCCAAATATGTTCACTCGGGTTTAAGTCCGGACTAAGGGCTGGCAAATGCATAACGTTGACACCGTTCTGCTGTAGAAAGTCCCGAGTAACTCTGGCGGTGTGGGCGCGGGCGTTGTCATGCTGGAAAACGTTGTTTCGATGACGTGCGAAATGTGGTATGACGTGGGGTCTGAGAGCTTGATCGATGTTGTGCGCTGCTGTGAAGCGGTCTCCTCTTCCTGGACCAAGATTTTGGAACACAACAGGACCCACTCTCTGCTTCAGGCCGATTCCACCCAAACCATTATGCTTGGACCTAACCATGAGTCTCGTTCCAAGACACATTCGTCAGAATAACGCTGGCCACGCCGACGCCATATTCTGGTCCTGTCATCTGCAGTTGACAGTGATACGCAATACCGACACTCATCTGTGAACTGATGTTGTTGGGCAAACTGTAGACGTTCACGTCGATGGCGAGGGGTGAGGATCGGTCCACAGTAAGGTCTACGACAATGGATGTTCTCTCTGGTGAGACATCGGCGCACTGTATCGGTACTGATGAGTCTTCCGTGTGTCTGACGTGCTATCTCAGATGCCTGTGTAAAGGGATTTTGCACGCGCTTTCGCACAACATGGCGGCCTTGTCGCCTTGTGGTAACCCTGGGTTTACCAGTTGCCGAAGCCTGCAGATTGTCCGAACACTGACCTGGAAGTGATTGGCAACGACTTGGGCAGTGTGGCCAGCGTCAGATCTTCCAAGTGCCTGGTTCCTCTGAGCAGTCGTGAGTCGTGGCATGCTCCTGACGTTGTAGTGTGAATGATTCAACCAGGTATGGGTTTGCGTTTGATGGGGCTGAACATCACGTGCAGCATGAGTTTCATGAAAATCATGGAGAACACATTACCATCTCAGAAGTCAGGTTGCGTTTTTTGAGAACATTTCATGGGATGGAGCCTTATTGCTCAGGTAAGGTTGGAGATGTGGTCACAAATATACAATAAAAACATTTGGAAAGTTTTATGCAATGCGTCTATTAGAGTAACATACCAACCTGCCGTTTCTTTTGCTGCTTAGTATAAATGTCAGTATATGCATGGCGACAAAATTCCGAGATGCTACGAATGTTGTTAGATTTAATAGGTTGGGCGAGGGTGAATTTACAAAGCCCCCGCCCCTCCCCCTCCCAGTTGGTTACTTTCAACTTGATCCCATTTGACAATAATGTACTTTTTACAATTGACAATTTGGACTTTCCATGTGAAAGGCTTACAAGGACATTTTTGATTTTTGATGTTTAAGCTTTAATTTATAATTATTAAAGATAATTCGTAGGCTATTTATATTATTTTGAGAACCTGTCGATGTTTGCCCTCAAAAACCAGGTGGTAAATGTTGGAATGGTTAATTCACAGAGCGTCTCCATTAAGAGTTAATTTTTTGGACAGAGGACTTGAGTTAGTTTTTATAATATCCGCTGTTGATGCATACTAAAGATATAAAATAAAAGTATAAAAATTATGCATGAGCACAAATTCAGAACTCTCACATAGATAGACAATATAAACCTTACATACTATACGAAAATACAAGACAAAACATGGCCTGCGCGCATAAAATCAAGTATTTAATAAAATAGTATTCATACATAATATAAAATTATATCACTCTTGTTGTAACTGAATAATATGTCCCAATCTTTATTCTGGTCAACAAATTGTACTATTTTACAATATCCCAATTAATTGATGATACAAATTTCATCTTAACACACCTAATTTAAAACATTGGAAAAATTCAACTAAATGATTTGAAAAGCCTGACGTAAAGCTTTTCAAATGTGACTTGGAATTAAAAATATTTTTGAACCCTCTGGACAAGTAAAATAGGATTTAATGGATAATTTACACAACAGCTAGGACACTAACACATCTAGTACTTAGAATAAGGCTATTTTTTATTTTCTGGAGCTGTCAAGCCAGCAAGAGTGTTATTGTCCCTTTAACAACAAAAATTGAAGATGCGATTCTCCAGTGTTCAGATTGAATTGACCTAGATTTTTCGGAATCGGATTGTTTTGTGGTCGTTTTAGTTTTGCTAGACGAATCCATTCACTTTTATTTGACATTGAAGTAATTTTGTTTTTCTCACTACATTGTTATTTTAGGAGGAACCTTGTTCTCGGAATCTTTTGAGGGATTATGATTGTCTCTTTCAGCCGTGGTTTGTGTATTAATTGTGTTTTTAGTTAATTCTTTGTCTTTATTGCCATTATAAAAAGGCTGTAAATTCTACTAGCAGGAACATGTTTGGCCACAATTGCCAAGGAAGTGAAATAGCAGAATAAAGGTTACGCAAATATCATTGATGCGGAAAAAAATGATCAAGATAGAAAACAATTAATCAAAAAGATGATAAACTAAATCTGTTCCTATATAAATAATCCTCAAAGTAAATTCTCAAAAATTCTGATCTGTAGTGTTAACAAGAATTGTGAATTTCGACAGACAGCAGTGACGGCAATATACCCTGACAAGAAAGGTGGGGATGAAAAATAACTATTTAATTGTTATTTTAATCCTATCCCAGACAACACAAAACGGCTGTACTATCTGACACATTTGATTATGTTGGAGTCAGGGCATAATTGTGTTAGTGTTACCAGTTTTTCTTTATTTTATTTTAACAGATGATGTCAGTGTAAAACAATGTAAAAATTCCCCACACTTTTCTAAAAATATGAGAAATTTTCACCTTGGACAAATAAAGAGATATGAAGATATTGAGAATTGGTTAGAGGAGAATATTGTATCATACCCGGTTAGTCTATAATATTTCTCCTTGATAATGATTTTTAAATAATTTGTTGATATTTTCTTCATAGAAAATAGAAATAATGTGTAGTATCTTATTATGCTATATTCTATAAGAAAAGGTCCGTTTTCTGTGGCAGAACTAAGAGTTGGCCTATTAGAGAATACTTACTCTGGTGATCGTATATATATATATATATATATATCAAGCAAATTGGCCCTCTTGCTAACAACATTTATACCCGCAAACACACACGTTTATCTAAAAACTCTGATGCTTTGCCACCTCTGCTGGTAAATCCTATTTTTGTCATATTGCCAACAACTGAAATCAACCCTCTTAAAAATCTAATTTGCATTCAAATTATTTTTTTTTAGAATACTTTGAATTATATTTTTCATTGTGATGCTTTTAATTAATTTCTTTTGCGAAAAATTTGATTTTAATTGATTTCTTAAGTTGTGACACATATTCTTTAGTCATTATTTTTTCCCCAGTTATTACTTGGTAATATGATAATAAGCAAGATAACAGATATGAATGTAGGTCTTCTCCCTCATGAATATGAAAAATTAACAGCAAAAATGTTATCAGTTTCCCAACAAGTGTTTGTGATGGATTTTAGTCTTCCTAAAGGACAGGTATTGATTGTTTTTTGTTTTGTTTATGTTTAAGTTTTAATATTGGGGGGGGGGGGGCTGGTGGAGAGAGTGATAAATTATTTTGCGGTACTTGACCATTCTCGAAATACGGCTACCTAAAGACACCACTTTTGTGCAGATCTTGTATACATTTGATCCCAGCTCAAGTTGATGCCTTCTAAAATGGTACCTGGTCTCGTATTGGCTTATTAAAAATGGGCAGAAATGTATAATTTGATCAATTTCTTGCAAATTAAAGACTGCATCCCTTTTTACATATATTTCAAATATAAAAAATTATGCTGTATTTAAGCACACCTATTGGTATTAACAAAATCTTCATGGAGAAGTGACTGACTTGTACGTAATTAAGAGAGCTAAATTATTATTACTTTATTTGACACATGATGATCATGGTGTGAGATCTATACAAACTAATGTAAACATTAAATTGGAATATGTTAAGCTATAGAATTGATGGGTTGGATAATTTGGGGACCAAAATATTTTTGATAAAATACTTTTGACTATTTAATCTTTATTCTGGTATCATTTTTCAGGAATCCTATTTCATAGACAATTGGGAGAGGCCAAGTGAATTATTAAATAAAGCCTGCAATGTTGGCAATTTGGACTGTAAAACATCAATACTTCGTGGATCTGATTTATGGGAAATGGAGAGAGTTGCGATACATGTCCAAATAAATCATTGTAAAAGGGAACTATCTGAAACTTTCTGTTCACAGTATACAAGAAAACAGGTAGAGTAAACAGGCTTTAACAATGACATTCTCATTTCAAACTTTTAATTTTCTTAAAGCTGAAAAAAAAATCTCCCTAATTGATTAATTTGAGATAGAAAAAGTTAATCGTTATATAATATATATATATATATCTATATATATATTTTTTTGTTTTCATAGTGTTACTTAGAATACAATATTGGAAAAGCAGTGGATATTTTTACAGATGATGGCAGGATCAACCAGACTGTTGACAGTAACACCCTTCCACTTGATTTAATATTACAAACTGGTAAATAAATTATAAAAGAAATATCATTATCATTTCCTATGATTATGACTACTAATATTTACATATATGTCTTTCTAACATGGCTGTCATTTACCCATTGCAGTCCGGGAATTTGAAAATGCCCGTTGGCTTTCTTTGCTTTTGACACTGTTTTAGTTTGTCCTTTCCAGATAAGTCATCATTCTTTGTTTAACCTTTTTTTTTCTTTTTTTTAAAACCTAATCTAAATTGATTGATTGACAGTGTTATATATTTTATTGTATATAGATCCAGCTGTAACCACAATGGAAAATGTATTCTCAAAACTTTTAAGACAAGTGGACAATGAACAATATGATATAAATTTAGTTTTACATGGTGGCAACATCAACTATACATCAATGTGGGTTGGTAGTTATAAATATAATAATAGAAATAGATCTTAGAAAGTTTATTACAATTTAAGCAGATTGGATTACTCAGGATAAATTTTACCTCAATGATTATGAATTTATCATGGACAGTTTATTTATCTATGGAATAAACAAAAGAAGTGTTATTTGAGGAGGAAGTAGACTAGGACAGTATTGGTGGAATATGCAGCATTTAGGGACCTTTCTCAGAACAAAATGTCCTCACTAGTTACAAGGATTGTTAAAGAGAATAGAGAATGATACTGGTATATGACGGGGCATTTTCTAAGAACTCTTTTTCCTTCACAGACTGGGTTGGCCATTAATGCTTAAGAATTTGTTTTATTTTCACGAGGGTTGCAGAAATTGAATTATGCATACAAATTTATAAAATTTATTTTTAAGGTGAATGATCGACAGCGATCTATTGATGATAATCCATATAAAAACTTTGACCAAAGTCAGAATATCCGACTCAATGATTTGTCACAATCTTTGAAGAGGAAGTTAAAACCTGCACTGATTTCCCCAGATGTGATGGACACTATTATAACAACAGAAGAAAAACAAGTTAAGATGGGCTTGGAATATTTAACAAAACCATTTGTAAAATCAACACAAATTCCATATAGGCCAAGTTACATGAAGAAACATTACGCCAAATTTAAAAACAATTTCAAAAATTTCACTAGAGACAAAATGAAATATGATACCAAAAATTTACCAGATAGACTTAATCATTTAAAGGAAAAGCAGTTAAATACAAGAACAAGGGTTACACAAGTTTTTTTAATGTCAAAGAATGAACAAGATACAAAAGAGTTAAATGACAAATATGAAAAATTAAATTTATTTAAAGAAAACAAAGGAATAAGGGTGAATAGTCTAGAGAAAGTAGAACCAGATTCACGTAACACTAAAGTACCAAATAAATTGTCATCTATTTTACTTGGAAAAGAGAATAATGGTAACATTCATATTAAAGATCCTGAAATACCAGCTAATAATACAACAAAAGGCAAATTAAATGAACTTGGTTTTAGAAAGGTTTGTCTATTAGAATATAATTGATTTAGAAAGATACACATTTTGGTCAACCTGCGTATATATATTTTTTTAAGAAAATGAAGATCATGTAGGTAGCTAAGCTCTTTTCAAACATTCTTCAGAAGTATCTTACAATTACAATTCAGTACTTATACTTACAATTACCCTGTTTTATCAGATATTTTTTCAAGCAAATTTATTTAATTTCAACAGTCTGACCTGCATCTCTCGTTTTTATCAAATCCTTTATATCATTGCAATTAAGTGATTGCCCATTTAAAAAAATGTTGGTTTTTTTTCAGAGGAAATTGTTATCTATATCGTCTGATAGAAGTTATTCAAATGGGTTTATTTACAATTTAAGAAAACAATCGAAAGGTTTGCCAGAATTTTAAAAAACAAATTTCAAAAGATATCTGCCTTTTTCCTTAGAATTGTTCTGTAAAGAATGAATTTGAATGGTGGGGAAATGTGTATTGATAATATATTTATGGTGTTTTTAACATTTTGTTGCTGGGATAAAAGTATGATAAAATACACTTTTGGCTCACAACACAAGATGCATGATATGATATTCTTGATTTTGTAATATCCAAAAAGACTCTTATATTTGTTATTTGATAAATGTAAATCTATATTCTAGAAATCCAAGAAAATTAAATACTTGACAAAGAAGGATTCAATTTACCTTTGTATTCAGACGATTCCTATGCACCATGACATTAGTTCTTTATTGACATTACTGTTTTCTATTCAATAAAAGTACAGATTTTTTTTACAGCTATACCAACATTAAATAATGGTTTCACAGTTAAAGTTACAACACTAAACACAAGCTATCAAGACAAATTGCCAAAAAATGTAAGTAAATGGAAAAATCTCAGAATAATTCTACTGTATTGAAATGATTTGATTCAATTGCCAATAATGCAACGGTTATGTCCAACTCCAATACATTAGAATAATGGGGTTACACCCGAATTCCCCAACCCCAACAGACCCTTATAATTACAGAGTTTTAACATCGTTTGATTTATCTCTTGTTTATTTGAATAATAACATGTTTTTGTTAAATGTTTAGAGTTCTCCACAATATGTAAATTTTGATGAGAATTTATTTGATTACAACTGGAGAAAGATAAAGAAACATGTATTCAAAATACTACCAGTTCAAAATCAACACAACATCTTCGTGTATGGTAAGTTAATAATAATCGTAAAATCGAATCAATAATAAAAACAACTTCAACTTATGTTAGACATTAGCATTCGAGATATATTCCTCAGATGTCTGGGATTCTTATTATTCAATCTATTTATCCAATCCACCAGCTTACCATAGAGACTATATCTGTTCCCCAAAAAGTACAAATAGTACCAGTATATGTCACCTCACAGGGCTCAATGCTTAGCCATGTAAAACAAAAGTCGGCATTGGTAAACAAGATTTGAATTGTCACTTTTATAAATTTATACAGGTAGAGGTGATCACTGTTTATTAAGTAGTAAACTATCTTTATTATATCCAACATCAGATATTTTAACTACATTACCTGCTGATGAAGATACTATTACAGCCAAATGCAGGTAAATAATTCAGTTAAAAATCACATAACAGTAAAAAACGTTTTATACGCCCACAATCTTTATTCGATTTTGACGAAACTGAAAATATAGATCTATCTCCCAAAGATCTCGGTTCCTTTCGATATTGGAATATGTATCGGACCATAACTTCATGGATTATGGCCCCTGAGTGTACGAAAAATCACTTTTTTAGCTTGTGGACACTCTAGAGGTCACAATTATCATCTGATTTTGATGAAACTTGAAATGCATGTTTATATCCCAAAGATCTTGATTTCTGTTTATATTTGCGCATATCGGATTATAATCTCCTGAATTATGGCCCTTGATTGTACGAAAAATTACGTTTTTAGCTTGTGGTCCATTTAGAGGTAACAATTTTTATCCGATTTATAAAAAAAAGCGTTTGAATGTATCACCATTACACCCTAATGATGGCCGAGTTCGAATTTTGTGAAAATCGAACCAAAACTTCCGGACAAATGGCCACCCTTCGTACGCAAATAGGGTAAATACATGGTATATCATGGTTGTGGACCCTCTAGAAGTCCCAATTGTACCTTGTGTTAATAATGTTCAATTACTTAGTCATTAAATATCGTAAACGAATTTCTATTTGTGCAGCATGTTTATGTTTTTCAGAAGAGTAATATCATCTTTACCACAATATAATAATCTGGTATTTAACAGTAATATGTCACCTCGTTTAATTAATCAATTCTATCAATTACCACAAATATTTAAGTTACAGGTAGGTTACTCCTTTACTTTAAATAGCTTCAGTCATTCAGTACAACCTATCTCCATTGACTTTAAATTTTTGTAAGAGAGGTTGAGTGGTTTAATACATTTGCTTGAGATCATAAGGTCTGCCATTGAGTTAAGTGGCATGGTTTCAACCCCAAGCCTGAACATGATAAGGAGTAGGGTTGCTTGCCCAACCTCATGGAGTTTTTCCGGGTCGTCTGGTTTTCTCATACAGTCAGACCCCAATGCGCAAGCGAATTCTTGAAAGAAATTATACCATATATTTATTCCCAAAATGACCTGGTTTGTGTCGAGTGGATGTTAGACCCTATTTCTCTCTCTTCCTCTCCCATTTTGTATATTTATTTATTTGGTTCCTGACATAATAATATGATCTGTTGATGTTTACTTAATTCATTAGCGTACTCTAAATTTAAACAATTTTCATTATAGGTACTAGGTATGGATATTTTTACAAATATTGTACAAACTAGTCAAGGCTTTCTTCTCTACCTTGGAAAACTATTAACAAATGCTGAAAACACAATATTGGAATTACCTTCTTTACATCAATTAGAAAAAGCTATTGACATGTTGAAGAGAACAACTCTGGGGTTAAATCTAACACAGTTGACGAAGGTATTTATCAAAATAAAAAAAAAAAAAATATTTTAATTGAATACAAATGAATATATTCTTTTGGCATGGATGATATTAATGCATGTGAAATTTTGATGCAATTGTACATGGTTGTCTATAGATTATGCATCTTGTTCTTGAAAGATACCCTATTAATAAATTTCGGTAAATATAGATTTGGATGAAATCTGAGGTGACCATGCTCCATGCAGACTACCTACTTTGGGACAGAGAGTAATATTTTACTTGAAGACTAACGGGAGATAACTCCGGACAGTGTAGCAAATTTATGAACACATCTTGGCGAAGCTAGGATCAATTACATGTCTATATATTCAAATTGAATTACCAGTAGTATTTGGAAATTCTGGATATTTAACCATCCAATTATTTTTACTTGAAAACCAAGAGTAGATAACTCTTGTTATTACAGGGCCTGATTCATCAAGCCTTACACCAGGTACAAGCTGATTATTATCCTATAAAGATACTAACAAATGGTAAAGATAGAAAATACAATAAAACCAGATTGATATTAATACGATTAAAATCTTTTAAAAGAAAGGTAACTATTTATTTTGTCTCAGATTGACATAACATATCCAATTTTATCCCAGATTTAATGAAATACCTAAAGTCCATCCTGTTCTTTTATTTAGTTATGTTCTGTGGGGCATGTCTGATCTACTACAGGTAAATTGTATAATATCAAACATAATCAAACTCAAACTATATACTTATAAAATTGCAAAATAAGCTCATAAGTATATGTTAATTATTACAGAGCAAATAATTATAAATTGCAAAATAAACTCATAAGTTAGTTATAGTATATTATGTTAATTATTACAGAGCATCAACCATTGAGCCTTTGATAGTGTGTGCATTACGCATACACTGCCCTTTAACATCCTGCATAAATGTTGCTACATGTATATTAAAATGCCTAGAACTTTTGGATTTGAACCAGGAAAAAATTGTTGATTTGATGGGTATTTTATATGTTAGTTTGTGTTGAAAATTTACTTGTTGATAAAGCCAGTAATAAGATATAACTGATGGTGTCTTCCACAAATTATTACTATTTCAAACCAAAATTTAATCAGACAGACCTTGCCCCATCACTAATTGAAATAACATATCAAAAAGGTTTCTCTTGAGGTATTTCATATTTTACCCTGTAGTTTTTCATTCTACAATTATGTATCATAACTGTAAATTTATTTCATAAGTTGAAGGCTCTACTTAGTTTAATTAAATGTAGGTAAAAGGATTTATGAAATAAATTAATTTTCTTATTTCTTTAGGTTAAAATTGATTGTAGTGGTAACACAGGTTTATTATCATATCAAGCCAAATCTGGTATTAACATTGACAGTTCATCAAAACAGACGGATCGAAAAAAATATTTATCAACATCTATTAACTTACATTTCTTAATATTACTTAAACTGCAAGCTCCAGAAAGGTAAGAATAAAATGGATAGACCTTAATCTGCTAGAAAGTTGTTGAATAATTCAGTCAAGATGGGTTGTGATTGTGTTTAAATTCCTCTTTAAAGGGAGCAAGCATAGTGTGTGTGGTGTGTGCCATAAGATAAGATAAGATAAGATGTTTATTGCATCAAAACGTCCATGAAGGACAGCATGCGTACATATACACTTAGACATAGTCATTTACATTCAATAACACATATTACATAGACAACTCAATACATTCATACAAACAGTATACTACATGTACAACTGTACATGTATATCAAATAGTAAGTGCAGTAGGACCGCACTACACGCAAAACAAAAATCTACAAGATAAACCTGCGGACAAGACAGAAAATAGACATTGCATCAAATAAACAAATATCAAATCAAGTGAATGTGACCAAAATTCCATAATAGCCCATGATGCTAAAAGTATACAATACAAAGTTGCTTGGCACAGTGGTTCAGATAAATTTTCAACAAATATTTCTCGCCAGAACTTAAAAATTATGGGACTTTAAACTTATTTAATGGTCGTTCTTATTTTTGTTTGTCTTACAGAGCCATGTTATATGGGAGTTATTTACTATTACCTATTGTAAAAGATATGTGTTCATTATATATATTATGGACAAACAAAACATTATATCATATTTATTCTAATAATAATACAATCCTACAAGATTATAGTATTCAGGTATAGTATTAATTTGTAAATATTATCATCTCTGATTCTCATTTGAAGGATTGTTAATCCATGGCAAACTACAGTATTGAGAAAGTTGAATCTATAAAATAGTTTAAAATAGTTCAATTCCATTATATATATTAATAATTTAAGCATTGAATGGTTTTTCTTTGAATAAAGTACCGGGTATGTAAGAGTAAATGTATTTCTGAAACATTTTATCATAAATTGTATTAAACTGTTTTTATGATATAAACCCCTAATTTCAGCAAACAAAACAACAGTTAAAATCTGAGATAAAAGATCAACATTTTTTATTTTTGGATGTAAATAATGATAGTAGGTGTTTATTTTTATTATTAATTACCTTAACAGAATGTTTACACATCATTCCCCTTCTACATTTTGGGTGTCTAATAATCTGTTTTAAACATTGTAATTATACTTCATAAACATCAAGTGTGTGCTCAGCAAATTGGCATTATCACCAAGCAGAGGAATAATCCATAATATTTGACTTTTGGTTTATCTACTGTGTATTTTTTTAAAAAGATAAAACATGTTAATGTAAAGAGTTTTTTTTATGAATGGTGGGGTGCAATATGTCTACTTCATCGGGACTCTCTAGTCATCCACTCATCTGCCTGATCTGGATCCACCTGGAAACATTGTTATACAAATGTATATTTTGCTAGTTGTTGATAATTGTTTCATTTATTTTATTTCAGATAGAATATTAACATATTTAGCTAGTAGTTATATTAACAGTACATTTGTAGCAATGAGAGATAGAGATGGAGAGAACGAAGTATTATATAATACAACAGTCTATAATAAAACAATAAATAATATAGCAGTTACTAACCAAATATTAGATACAGATTTTACAGATAAACTATTACATAGTCCAGATATATTTAGATACCAATTTATAGGTAAAATATAAACTATTATAGCTAAGACCTATGATTTTGTAACAAAACAAGTACAAGTGTAGGTCTACTATGGACCAGGAACTGAGCATGGCGTCATTACATCCATCTTGAAATTGTCATGTAATATAAAAAATCAAGGATAATCAATCGATGCGCAATTATCCAAGGAACAAGCATGCTAAATGTCACGTCGATCGTTCGTGAATGGGCAGAACCTTAAGCCTTTCTTGAAGAGTGTCATCCTCAAGAAGTAGAAAAATATCAAAATTTGCATTCTCACTGACAGGATAGGAATGCATGCAGTAGACAGATGGATTAGTTTGTTGGTGGCGCCACAAGATACAACATTAGAGAGAAAAACAACACTCATAAAGGAAACCCTAAGTTCACATTTCAATTTTGCTCTCCCCTTGAATCCCGAGTCGTACTTTAACTACAACAAATTTACACAAACAAAATCACCAATTATGGGTTGACTTTATTTATGTGATCCCACTACTAAACATATAATCATAAAGCTTTCTTTTCGGCTACGGTAATCAGTTAGAAACAAAAGACAACAGTAACTTGACACAAACTCAAGAATTTAATTTTAATAGATAATATGGTTGCAATAGTCTAAGCTACTATTTTGATTATGGGTTTTCCGGGAAACTTTTCTCCCATTGAATTCCAGAAAATTGGAAAGGTAACTTGAAGCAAGTGCAGGGGGTTGGTTTAAAACAAACGTTCTTTTATCTTAAACATACATTATGCAAGAGCTAAATCTTCCTATTGCAAGTCTTAATTTATTTAGGCTTCAGATGTTATAGAAATTTTTAATTAGACCTTTATTTACACGACAAGCTCAAAGTCAACTCGGTATACCCTCGAATGGCTTGGATACAGCTTAAATTTAAACAGTCGTCCATTTGAAATTAAATCACAAAATGGCCGACCAAGTTAAAGTTTACCGTTAGTCACTGACGTCACTACTGGAAACTGGTGATGAAAGGCCTACCAAGAGAGGCTATCATAGCCACTGAGAATGTTACTTGATAATCGAGAATATGTGGGTGGAGTTATCGTCTGTCAATCAAACGATCGGCAATTCTCGTAGGCTGTGCGGACACAGTTGACGCCCATTTCTAGTCCAAACTTCCAACAGTGACAACTCCGTTCAGAATAAAGTCATTGGGCTTTTTTCTTTTTTTATCATCAAATTCTAGCAAACACAAACTGGAAAAGCCTCAAGATAAACAATCCATTGAACCAAGATTTTTTACCTATAAAACAATTCAACAACTGATTATAGCTCAAAATATAACACAGCTACTGAATATTACATTACCATGGTGTTCTGTAAATTTTAAATTGTTGCAGGATATACAGAATTCTTACGATCAATAGGCAGACAAATGCGATCTGAATTTGATTCAATGTTAGGTAATATTTTGTCAACTGGTGTTACAACATTTTTACAAGTTCCGTCTGCTCAGATACTCTCACTCAGTGCTGCTACCTTTTATCCAGATATATTTTCACATGAAGACCAGGTAAGAATATCTTGGGTGATAACACCAAATAAAGTTATACTCACGCCTTAGTTTGTTATGGTTTTCACAATAACTAATCAACCACATAATATTTAACTATATTTGATTGAATCTAATTAGCTTTATTTATGTCTTCATTGTATCAAGCAGGTCATAAAGGGTTAGGGTGTGTTTGATTGCAAAGAATCCAAATGCTGATTTTCGTTTCCAATTCGGGTCACAAACAGTTTTATCAATCCAGATTTGATTTCTTGAGACATGTGATGTCTTTGACTTATGAACTACGACCATTCCGAATCCAAAAAATAAACACCACAAGACAGATTCAAAGATTTGTATACCTGGTATTGTATTTGAAAATGTTTAGAAAACTGACTGGACTCTGAATCTGGAGAGATTCAGATCTACATTCAGGGCAATCGGACATCTAAATGTATAATTTGAAGTAGAAAATATTTTATATTTCAGTCTTTACATTTATCAGAAATTCATCCTCTACCTCCATTTATTACTGCTGAAAGAGATTTAATTTATGAGGTAAATAAATAAGTGTTTTAATGTATATCACCATCTAATTGGCCATCATTTTACTGTATTAAAATACAGATGTGACGTTATCCTTTGATGTTGGCGAACCATTGTTTTTTATAATGGTACTGACAACGTGCCAATCAAGTATTATTTATACTATTTGAAATATTGGACCCGTGTGATGCATTTCATTGAAATGCATGTGTCAGATAGTGTCTGTATTTTAAGTTATTTAATGGTGTCGAGCAAGACAATGCGTAATATACTCTTCAAAAAAAGTAGGGGATATTCAGAAACAATACAAAACTGCGGCAATGCACTGCTGTTTTTATTAGAGGTTACCAGTGTATTTTAATAACAGACCAATTGCCAACACATGAACATAAACAGTTCATATGGGCGACTTATCGGGCGGCCCCATTTCAATCGCAAAGAGATACACTGTCAAAAGTGAAAATGGACGTTTTTGAATTTTGTAATTGCTCCACCAATCCTCAGACATTCAGCATTTCGTCGTGGCATGCTCCTAACCAACCGTCCAATGACGATTTAATGGGGCAATCTGACCCACTCCTCTTGCACTGCCACGGCCAATTCTTGCAGTGTTGTCGATTGACGTTGACGAACACGTCTCCCGATCATGTCCCAGACATGCTCGATAGGGGAAAGGTCAGGACTCATGGCTGGCCAAGGCATAGGCCCTATAGACAATATGGGGACGCTGGAGGTAGTCATTCACGACACGAGCGCGGTGGGCACAGGCATTATCATCTTGAAAGATGGCACGTTGAGCAAAGGGCAGAACTATCGGTGCCAGGATGTGGTCACGGTAGTACACACCAGTGACCCTTCCTTGAACAATATGCAAGTCCGTTCTGGCAGTCATGGTGATTTCTCCCCACACCATAACAAACCCACGCCCGAATCCGTCATGCTGTCTGACGTTAACGTTTGCATGACGCTCATTTGTACACGCCTCCAAACGCGAGCACGCCTATCGGTGAAATCCAGAGTAAATCTGGACTCATCTGATAACATTACACGCGCCCATCGACGATTACCCCAATTTCTACGCTGCTTACACCATTGACGCCTGTTTGCCATGTGCTGGCGAGTTAATGGAGGTACAACACGCGATCGTCACGAATGCAAATGGGCTGCATGTAGCCGATTTCTAACTTGGTACAAGTTTACAGAAAGCTGATTTGCCGTTTGTCCTCGATTTCGCAGGACCTGTGTACGAATGTATCGATCCTGGGCTTGTGTAGTGGCTCTAGGACGACCTGAACGAGGTCTATATAACATTGTGTGTTTGTTGGTACCGGTTCCACAGTCTGTAGTTCAGCTCTGAACGTGGGTCTCATTTTACACTCGACCTCGAGTGTAATGAGACCTACGGTCAGAGCTGAACTACACAGTCTGCTGATCACAAACTGTGACACATTAAGCATGTTGGCTACTGCTCCCTGTGTAGAACCCATTTGAAGCATGCCAATAGCACGTAGACGTTCATCATGTTGAAGACGGCTCATTGCAAATTAAACGTAACACACTAAAAGAAAGATACGCTAAACAGTAAATCTTATGCAAGAACCGATAGGAAAGCAAACATGGATAGGATAAACCAGCACGTGGCAGTTTTCATCAACCCTTCCTTGAAGTGTCAAATTTGACAATGAACCCCTCCCACGGGTAGGCCCAATGGTGCTATTGTGTGTTGCATGTGCAGCTCAGTGGTTCTGTTGGGCCGATAAGTTCTTCATCTGTGAACATACTCTCAAAGCATGTCAAGTGCCCAGGACTACTAGTATTTATCATATCACAACCCGCATAGGTATTTGCATCTGAACAACCCCTACTTTTTTTGAAGAGTAAATATAGCCTAAGAGTAAATAGCCTATAACCTTTTGTCATCAATTACAGGGCATTTTTGCATAATTAAGAACAGTTGCACAGTCAATATATTGACCTCATCAGTGTTAGAATAGATGTTATCATTTGCAATGAGACTAGTGTCACAAATAATAAAATTATAATAGTGTTGTTGATCATTGTAGATATTATTATTTAATTATGTGTAAACTACTGTATAGGCTACTGCAGATTGAAATGGAACCCCCTCGACATTGACCATCCACAAACATACGTGCTTCGACTTAATGATCACAGAGTTTTATTCATATTGAACCAATGATCTTGTCAATCTGTTTTAATATTTCCAAAACAAGTTTTATGTGGTGAGAAAGTGCTTTTTTTCTTGCAATTTGGGGATAACTATCAGCTATTGCACAGATTTTATTCCAGTCTGGCCAAATACCCATAAATTGATGTCTTATGTTTTGAGCTTGAAGATGGTAGGCCTACATGTACATGTTTGCACAAATTTGCCATGGGTTTGGGTGAATGCAATATAAAATATACACAGTCAAATACGGTAACTTACTGCACTGAAAACCATACGATCATCAAAGGTGCTTGTAAATATGGGGGTTCAGATGTTGTCCTACATAACATGTATCATTTTCTGGCCCCTGGTACATGTATATTAATTATTTACATTTACTAAAAGTAGAGAAATGAAATGAAATGGGGTTTATCGTCCTATTGTTCTGCTCCGACTGGGCTAATAAAGACGGTCATATGCCATACAGTGTGCTATGAGTGGTGTTAAAGCCTACTCTTATATTGAATTCCAACTGCCAAGGGATCTTTTACATGCTCACCAATGTGTACATGGGACCTCGGGTTTTCATCTCATCGCCATCGGAAAGACTATACACTGTCCCTTGCCAGGCTCTCCATCCTGCACCATTGACAAGAGGAAACCATGCCACAAAATCACGATCAACTTTTTCAGCCATTGCTGGTATCGAACACGGGACCTCTAGGTAAGAAGGTGAAAACTTACTCACTGAGCCACTGTGGCTCCCCTAAAAGTATAGGCCGAGATTGGACATTGATAAATGTTATAAGTCACGTGTGACAGGATGCTCCTGTGGGGTATCAAAAAACCTGCGAACCAAGGCATGGTATGCATCATTGTCAATATCGCCAGTGGTATCGTTCCGTTTTACTTCTACTCCACTAAATCCTGGGTTCATTCACAAATTCAAATTATCTGCCCTTGATCATAGGTTGATACCACAAATCATTTAAAAAAACCGTTTACATACCAGTCTTAGCATCCTTGTTTATGCCATAGAAGTACATGGTGTACGTTCACCACAATAAAGCAGTTTGTACGATCGATTATGAGAAGGGTTGCAGAAAATTTAATGTCAAAGAAGTAACATGCACACAAAACTTTGTCCTAAAATATTTGGACAAATTGCAATAAAATACGAGTTACTTAACCACACCCACTCTGAAGTTTTTTGATTGGTAGATGAAAATAGCACTATTATCAAGGGTGGATAAATTGAATATGTGTCTCCCCCGTGAATGGACCCAGGGGTTAGTGGAGTAGAACGGAACAATACCATTGGGGTTACTGAGGATGGGTGTGCAATGCACCTCTAAGACTTGATTGAGCCAAAAGGGAATTCCCCACTACCATATACAAACAGCACATCTTTACATCCCTGTTACATAAATATTAAACAATAGTCTAACATCATATTTTTATATATTTATTTCTTTAAATACAAATACCGAAGATGTTTGTGCCCATTTTACTGTGCATGATAATGATATTGCAGACATAAAAAACACAACACATTGTGATCCGGTTTCATGCTGGTCACATAAAAATAACTTGCACAGTCAGCACTATTGAAGAATTCAGGAATGTCTTTAATATAATAAAAGTATACTATAACTATGGCTTCAGTTTACAATTAAAAAAACTTATGCCATGAATGAACCCATTTTATGTCAAATGACAAAGCGACACACTCATCACACTAATAGTAGTAATAAGGTTTGACAATATCTGGATTTTCAACAAAGTTGTAATCTACACTTTCATTAATCAGATGAACATCACCATTCGGTACATTATATGTATATATCAAATCCATGGTGAGAGTAAAGTAAAGATGTGTATTATGTCCATTCCAATTCAATTATAAGGAACTAGATTTTTTTTAATCCAAAGGTTAACAACAAATAATTTATGTGTTATTTAGGGAGAGAAATATAGAGTCTAAAAATATTCAGCAATTAAATGGTGAATAATAAAATCATTCCAATAATCGTGTCAATGTCTTCATCTTCTATCACAAGTTAATCAATTCTGAGCTCTCAAGACAATGTCTCTCCCTTTGTTATCCTGGCTTCAATATATTCCACTCTCCTTTCTAACTCTGTCAGTTTTTCATTTAGTGTTGCTAAACGAGACCTGCATGACATGTCAAAAGAATTCAAGAAGTCAGAAATCTTTTTAATACTGCATGTTATAACTTCCACATATTCTCTATTGGCCCAGTCTTGTTGAATGGGCTTTTGATATGGTTGATTCTGTTGATATTGGGTCGCCATTTTGTCGTTTATTAATGTTGTTTATAATCTAGTTCACCACTCCGTCCACTGACTGTAAAACCACACTAGAATACCGTTTCAAATCAAAGTGGGAATAGTCCAGGTATTATAACAAATCAATAATGGATTGGTCCATTATTAATAATAATTCACAACTTTTGTTGGGTAATAAAGCTCGGATAACGGCGTTCACACACCTTCGTTGTATGCGGCTCAGTCCAATATCATACTTCCTGCTATTTTATTGCACACAAAAGTGGACTCTTCCATAAGATTTAGACCAGTCCACTGTCAAGTGGTATGACCCAAACGCAGTAGAGACGTGATTTAAACCTGTCAGCGATCAATTGATATTGCCGATTATTTTGCAATTGATCTCCGATCACTGATTGATTTGACTGATCATTGGCAATATCGATATCAAGGTATACGTCTCAACTTGTTGTGGTACTGGTTGACCAAGTCTATAATAGTCAATATTTATCCAGGGTTTATTAATAACAGCCAGTCGAAGTTACTTAACACATAAAATAATCAGGCTAATGTTAAACATATGGACTGGAGAAATTATTATCGCTCTTCCACATAATTAAAATAATAATATAATTGCATAAAGCATAAAATTACATTATGTGCATGGGTTATTATTGAATATAGGATTGCAAATTACCTTTCTCTTATTGATCCAGCTACATAGTACATGGCTACAGATATCACACCATCATGGAACTTGAGTCGACTCGAAGAATTAATATATTATAAATTAAGTAAACTCCTGAAAAAATAGTTATGTTGAAGTTGCATTGTTAACCAGGATGTTTCGTATTTTGGAAAAAAATACAAGGAGATTTCACCTACTACTGTCACCTACTATACTGACTAGAAAAATAAAGTAGACTCCTGTACGTACTGAACACTTGTCTAGTATTAGTATTTAAAGTCTAGCAGCATACAAACCCCTGGAAAAGACACACAATATACACAGATATTTTAAACAATAAACAGCAAACATATCAAGTGAATGGATCTGCAGCCATGTGCAGTCCTGGACCTGTACATAGCAATACTAGCTGACTTCACTCAAAATGAAAATAAACTAACAATAAGCAAAACAATCAACAAAAAAGGGAATATTTCCCAAAAATATAGTTTTCTGTAATGAAAAAAATTCACAGATGGTATAAAAGCGATTTAATGTAGGCTTCTGGTATTGAATGTATAAATTTATTGCAGAGTGCCAAAGCTGATGTAGACATTGATATAAAAACACAAATTATTCCTGATATTACAGCCCAGGATGGAATAAAATTACCATGGAAATTAATTAGAGTAGACATCAAACAGTTAAAAGTGAAGGTAAATGAATTTAGGTGCTGTTATGTGTCTGTACTGTCACATGCTTTATTGCTGACATTTAATTACTTGTAGGTAAAAAAAGGCATTGGTTACTACCAGCCAGGTATGTTGGCATCCTGCATGTATGAAAGAACACTTTGCAGTTAGTCAAACTGCTGCTGACTGGACAAATTTCTAATCCTTTGTTCAAGGTTTGGGTGGCTAAATGGTCTAACATTTACTTTATATCATGGTTAGTGTCATAGTTTAGTTCCAAGGATTGTGCCGTCTCAGTCCCAGGTGCCAGGTACGTGTGTCTCCCTGTTCTGAAGCATGCCAAGGGCATAAAAGAATTAGTGAAAGAAAGATTTAGATATGGCTGGGTAGTCCTGAAATAACCTAGTTAAACCAATTTCTAACCATGTAAAAACGAAATAGCCATTTCGTCTCCGATTCACATATCAAGATGTTAAACACAGTCCCATCCCTTTCAATAAAACTTAGCTGGTCTGAACTCTCAAAATTTTATACAATAAAGTCAAGAAATGCAAGTTGAAATTTATAATATTTTGTAATCGTTTTTTTAATTGGCAGGTAGATCATCATTTTGATTTTAATTTGGATGGCCATCAGAGAAAATATATTCAACATGTAGTGAGCTACAACAAATCACATTACGATGTCCATCTGGTCAGACAGCAGGATGGCTTTAAAATACCATATGGAAATGTTAATGGTAAGACAATAACCAGTCAGTCTAATCAAAATATAGGCAATAGATCTTCTCATTTCGGAGATGTTATTCTGGTCATTTACAGAATCCCAGTCATATTAGTCAGTCAGTTGGACCAAAATACGCATTTTCGCCAGAAAAATTACAGTATTTAAGAATAATCTTTACAGTGCCTTCAATCACAATAAGTTTATTGCAGATCTTATAGTCGTAAAATTTGATCGATAAGTTACTACCCTTTCAATCAAAATATTAAAGTAAAAGTAAACATATTTTAGTCAAATTTGAACTACTAAATAACAAATCGTTCAAAAGCCCCTGTTTACAAGCGTTTTAATTTTTTCCAGCTATTTCTTTAATAGCATTGCTACGAATGGGATTAATAGAAGTACAGAAGAATGATTTCTATGCAAAATTCTTAAATTTACCACTTTATGAAGATATGGCTCCTTGGAATATAGGTTTGTTGTGTTATATATTTTGGGGGGCTCTTTGGTGTGTTAAATTTAGCTGTTTTGTAAGCTGTTAGTTACCAATATAACAAAAAAAAAACGCTATGTGCAGGTACAATGAAGTTAATTGCAATGGTTTGAACAGATAAAAGTCAGAAATCCTGGATTTCTTTTATCAAAATGATCAAACAAAACCAACCTTGACTTGTTTTGTGTTGATGTATTATGTGTGCATGTGGATTAAACATATAAATTGTCTATTAGATGTAGGTCTAACAAAGACAAAAAAATAAAAAGAGAATGGTTTGAAATTTTTGATGGTGTGCAGGCAATTATTAACCACTCTATCAATACTAATTATTTTATTATTCTTATCAAGGCACATTAATTAAATTATTTTGTAATTTCAGTATTTCGTCATGGTACATTAGAATATATTGACTATGATACAAAAGATTATAAATACGATAAACTAACTCCAGCAGCATATAGGGTATGTGTACTACGTTGTTTTTATGTGTATATAATAAGAATTTGGGGGTGAAGGATGATTTCCTTTAATTCCCTTCCCATCTTTCCAGCTAGTGATATTTTATAGGTGATACAAAATTTGGATTTAGTTTTGTGTGTTTTATTTATTATTAAAAATTTAAATATTGTATTTTTGTAGATTTTAATGGTTTTAACAAATTATCAAAGGACAGTCAAAGATTTTAATCATTGTGGAATGGCAGCAAAGTCAGTATACTATACACTTTCTTAAAGCCGCTGATTGTGATTTGCACGCCTTAATCCATGCTAAACATTATACTCAAAATGATTAATTAACATTCAATTAAAAAAAATAATATCAAAATATCATCAAAAGAGTCCAATCAAAAGATTTTATGCAAGATTGTAGGTCACCATATCCTGTTGTAGCTCGTCTGCAGAATGTTCATATATTATCAGTTCATGTATTATGTGATAATCTTATCTTGTGTTACTTTCAGGAATGAGTATGGGTTTAAATATATTGCAGAATGTGTTGGAAGTTCATTTATCGGTCCATGTAAAGTAAGTGTAATAATATCTAAACTTAGGCACCCCAACCATTTTTATTTTTGGTGTACAATTCTGTACCCCTGAGTGTTCCAACTTTAGATTTATATTTAGCCTTAAATCCTCTCACGGGTGTTACCTCAACACCCTTTATTGTTATGACAAGTAACAATGTTACAAACCAACCAAAGGCATCCTAGTTAGCAAAATTATAGACACTAGCACTTCAATCTAAACGATCAGTTGTCAAACCTCTGTACAATCGCGGTAAGCAACTACCGACCCCAGTAACAAATTCGCAAACCCCGCCAAGAGGCCAACCCTGGTAACCCCGCCAACTAATGACCATGGAAACTCCACCGGGGTTTGGGAATAGTATAAATAATAAAAGTCTGCCACATGTTCAATTTTGTTTCTGGAGCATATTTCATAAACCATTCAAGATATCTTCTTGAAACTTTGTACAAACATCAACCTATTAAAGTAGTTGCGCCTTTTGTTAATTTGGAATTTTGCAGATTTAATCATTTTTGTGTTTCAATGGAAACAAATTTTGTTTTCGGAGCATTTCTCATAAACCTTTCGAAATATCTTTTTGAAACTTTGCACGCACATCATCCTATTACAGTAGTTGTGCCTTTTGCTAATTAGAAATTTGTCAGATTTAATAACTTTTGTGTTTCCATGGAAACAAAATTCTCTGTTGAATGATTTTTGAATTGTTACTACACATTTGAATTATTTTTTGATGTATAATTATTATTCAAGAGCATATCTCAGAAATTGTTCAAGATACCTTTGTAACACTTTTACATTCATCAACCTATTATTTTATTTCTGATGACCTTCCTTCTGTGAATCACAGTAGCTCAATAAGGCAGGGTCTGTGATCAGAGTATGAATCTTCTGACTAGTCCCATTAATATTCCAAGAAGTTGTTTTTCCTTATGCCTTCCAAACAAGTGCAAGGGTGCGGGATGGTGATGACTAGTCCTCTTGTTTTAATTATAGGATCCTCGATATCCTGTACCATGCGGTGATAAAACCTGTCAATCAACTTATATAGACTGTCTACGGTCATTACAAGATAAAACATCACTTCATCTAGGTATCTGAGTATAGAATATTATTTATAAAGTTGGTCTAATTAGAAAGTGTTAGAATCATAGTATGGTTTAAAATGTTAAACTTATTTTCTGTATCTAAAAAAACCGAAACGAAATAAATATTTTGGAATTTCTAAATTAATTGTTCTTTGTAAAAAGGCTATAATTTTAATAATAACCCTTTTTTCTAAGACTAATTTTTATCCCCAACCATTTGAAGAAAGTTGGGGACTATTAAAATGGGTCTGTCAATCGATCCGTCTTTCCATCACATTTCTATTATTTGCGGTAGAATATTCAAACTTGGTGAATATCATGACTGAGTTTGATGGTGATCATTTTCTGCTTATGCTAAGCAATTTTATTTTTCGATACTTTGAAACATGACAACTTTGATTTTAATTGGGTGAGAATGATGAAATATGGTGTCAAGATTCATTAAATTAAAGGAGCTTAACCACTATCTCAATATTTTCCACAATATTAGAATTCAATATTGGACCATTTCAATTTGTGGACTCCTAATATCCAGTATTTAAGACAAAATGAAAATTTTTAAAATCAGTACACGATATGTGTACTCAAGGTTTCGGATGCCCATTTGCAATGGACAAAGAAAAACATATCCTACAAGACAATATGTATGTAAGCAATTGTTAATGACTGATTCCTAAAAGACAAAATATTTGAAATAATCAGGTAAAATGGACCTAAGCAGGCGTAAACGACTGCCGTTCAGTTTGAACTGTTCACATATTCCACCGAACACAATTGATTAGAAATTGCAATAAATGTTTTAAAAATTGAATATAAATCACTTTAGATACATTCATATTACATTTCTATGTGCTTTTAGAACCAAATAATAGAGCCATATGCCCTTTAATACTTTAAGTAAGTTTGATATTGACCTTATTCTCCATAAGTTAAGCAGAGAGAAGCAGTTTGATTGGTCAAAGTGATAGTGATGATAGTGTATAGTTTTATTAAATCAATAGCCTACCTTTACTTAGTTTGATAATGAGCATTTTCTGCTTAGGTTAAGCAAAGCAATATGTAATTTGATTGCCCAATGCTTCGATAAAAAATAAATGTGTAAAAATTAATGTTGTCTATCTATTTTATAATTAAGGCAGGAGATATCAGCCTCACTTCTGGCTTGTTTTCTTTCAGACAAAAAAGCTTTTAATGATCTTAGCTCAAGGAGATTTTTTTTAAATGAAGAAAAACCAGAACAGTGGGTAAGATATTGTAATTAGTATTTAATATTAAAGTAGATTTTATAGCTTCATTGGGTGTTTGTCACTTATTCCAAAAACACAACTTGAATAGAGCTTTTTATTTATGGCCCATGGCAGTTGTTTCCTTTGCAGGGAATTACATGTATGTATCGTGAAAGAAAGATAAAGTTAGATTGGACGATCTGGCGATGCTTGACATAAATCTTCTGTATGTAATTTTGTATAAGGGAGCAGGGGATTACAGATAATAAAATTATCCTGTATAGTGCAGGACAACGACTACCAAGAAAATACCATAACTATACCAGAATTGTTTAAAGTGGATTGCTTTATTTAAACAGGCATTATGTTACATAAACTATTAATTAGACATTTATTAACAATTCCAAGACCATAATGAACTCTCGATGCCATCGGATGTCTCTGATATTAAGTAGATTAGAGCGGTTCAGCCATTTAATGATTTAATTTAAAAATGGAGTTCAAGCAGGGCTAAGCTTCGAACAACCAGTATGGTGGTTACAATCAATGCACACATCTTGTCAAACCTTCAATCTTCACTCAGAGTAAAGTAATTTGAATGAAATTTTCAATATATCCATTTTGTATTATTTATTTTGGAACTATTATAGCAAGAATGGCTAGCTCTTTATCTAAATCTTACATAGTCCTTCTTTAATGCGGTTAGAGATAAAATTGTGTCTATTCATACAAATCTCATTATTTTTAATCATTTAATTCTTCACTTTGCAAGAAGTAGTAAGGCATTTACAATATTACAGATTTGCACTTCAAGTTAATTACCACCAAAAGATATAAGCTTACAAGCTTAGATGCAAATCTGCTTTTTTGTTATACAAAATACAAATCTCCAGATTTGATTAATCATCTCAGCTTGAATTATAATATTATTTAGTGATCAGATCAAAGTGCATACACATGGAGAAAGAGAGAGAAACTAGGTCATTTCGGGGCTAACATATGATTCAATTTTATTTCAATAATTCGCTTGCACGTAGGAGTCTTTAGCAGTGTGAGGAAATCAGAGGACCCGTAAAAAAAACCCACGATGTTGGACAGGCGACCCTACTCCTTGTCACGTACAACCGGGGAATCAAAACCACGCCAGCTGACTCAATGACAGACCTTATGATACAGCGCGCACACGCTAACCATTCGGCCATCAAATCCCCCCTACACATGGAGAAGTATACACCCCCAAGATATTAATTTTATCTATTCCCATTCAAAATTTTTATTAATAATGTCTTTTTTCACTTTATTTTCAGTCCTTCAACAAAAATGGAGCAAAAACAAGACCACCATAAATCATTTGGCTACTGGAAAAAATAAAACAAAGAAAGTACATATTATTGGGATTAAATTTTATCTTTTAATGAACTTTGATTTATCAGCCTACTGTGATAGTGTTCTGGGAAAGTGTTATTAATAAATTCAGGGTTTTTATGAAACAATATAGTTTGTTTTTGTTTTCAATTTCCACATTGAATATATTATATTGTACTTATGATCAAAATTAGGTAGATCATCCAATAAAGGGAACAGATCCATTTTGGTGAAATGAAATGAAAATAGGTTTAAAGTCCTACTGTTCCGCACCGAATTGGCTAATGAAGACAAGCATACACCATACAGTGTGCTATGAGGAAAATTTTGCCTGGGCAATGGCACTATGGCTTACTCTTATATCAAATCCCAACTGCCAAGGGATCTTTTACATGCATGCCAATGTGTACATCGGACCTCATTTTTTTTATGTCCCATCCGAACCACTAGACAGCTGTCCTTTTCAGGTCCTCCGTCCTGCACCACTGACAAGGGGGAAACCACGTCAGGGAAATCCTGATGAACTTTCTCGGCCAATGCAGGGATCGAACACACAACCTGCAGGCTAGCGAGCCAGCGTCTTACCCACTTAGCCACCGTGGCTCCTCCATTTTGGTTGTATAATCAAGGTGCTTCCTACTATTTATCACTGTTCATAAAACAATTTCAGGAATGTAAAAAGCTGCCTTGGCTTTGTTAATCAGAATTGAAAAATTGGTCAAGATTTGACATTTGTCTTCTCTTTGACTGCAACAAATATTGTGTATATGAATTTTTTAGCCTGACTGTTCTTATATAAAGACAAAGTTCAAAAAACAACTTTAGGAAAAAGTTGTCTCTGTCCACAAATTGCCAGTGCATTTGAAAATTTCAATCATAAGACATATATGTGAATATTTAATTACATTTTTGTACAAAATTAATCAATTTATATTTTTTCCTCCCTCCATATGATTTGGTCAGTATGGCAGGAATCGTAGCATTAAGTATGATCCTCTGGACCAGGGTTTCAGTTTCACAACTGAGTCCGTCCGACATATTTAGTTGAGGATAACGGGGACCAGAATGGAGTGACTGGAGCATATCATGTTTTCAATATCATTCACATTATGCCTACGATCCGTTTTAAGTTCATGACATTAATAATAATTTGACAATAATTACCTGTTTTAAAATACGATATAAATTGATAGATAACCGTCGATAACAAGAGTATTTGATGACGGACTCCCTAATCTGTAATCTGAATGACGAGTGACAATGAAATTTAACCATTTTATGGAATGGGTTTAATAAATAGGACTGCGTAGAAACTTAATATTTCTTTACAAGTGGCTACCCTGACCACTAAAGAAAGACATGGTCATTAGATGGATGACAAAAAGAATAACACAGTTCCAGCAGATGAATGACCAACAGAACGACAGAGGTTCACTAGACGAATGACACAGAGAATAGCTGATTCACCAGACGAATGACAAAAAGAATAACAGAGGTTCACCAGATTAATGACAACGACTATTACACCAGACAAGCGAATGACAAATAAGTGACATGTTCACCCAGACGAAGGCCAAGGAGAATGACAGGTAGGTTCACCAGACGACCCTGAGGGACACTATAAGACAAATGACAAACGGAACGATCCAGAGGGTCACCCAACGAATGACACCGATAAAGTCAGAATTCTAAGATGAATGACTAAAAAATGACAGGTTCACCGGACGAATGACAAAGAATGTAACAGGTTCACCAGACGAATGACAAAAAAAAGAAAAAAAAAAACACCCGAATATAACAGAGGTTCATGTACCAGATGAATTTAATTCAGTGATTCTACCAGTGTGCCGCGTGGTCTTCCTAAATGTGCCCAAACATTTTGAAGGGCACACTAAGAAAATGGCTGAGCTCACTGGTGTCTAACTGTTAAATTCATAACTGTGTTTCACTTCATTTGGTTTGAGTCATTATGTCTACTTTATTTAGTTTAGAGTCATTCTATGTGTCTATGACTTAGTCTGTATCTACGGTTGTATACCGTCTGTGACTTGCCATGTTTTTATTTCGCAAAATCAAAATATTTTTCACATATATTTAGCCAGGTGTGCCGCTATTTTTTCATGTGTTCCAAGGTGTGCCGTTGGCAAAAAAAGTTTGAGAACCACTGCGGTAAGGCTTCACCTTTACTTCAATGGAATTGGTTTATTATATCATGGACCTTATAATAGTATAAGGTATGTACAGTACAGTTTGCGGTTGGTGTGATTGGAAATTAAGGGAGTTATAGGCCAGTAACATTTTTGTAGTCAAATGACTAACGAACTTGCTCAAAGGAAGGCCTAGGACGGTCCAATACTGTGGCTGGAGCAAGACGGAAGACATCACTAGTGGAACCATTTCTACTGCCCCCAAACTTTCGGGCAATCTGACTTTTCGGGCAGACGGGTAAAGTGAAAAAAAATATTATTTCATCTAGATGGCAAAATAAAGTGCCCGAAATTTAATAAACACTATTTTTACTTTACTTTTAATTGAATGTAACGAATTTGTACCGAATTGACGATGGTTTAAAACATTTTGTCTGGAGCCACTCTATCTTTAGAAATGGTTCCACTACTGATGTCTTCCGCCTCACCCCAGCACGTCCTACGGAGTTCCTTTGCGCAAGTTACTGGCCTATAGCTCCCTTAATTTACACATAAACTGGCCCAAAACTGTACTTCACATAGCTTAAAGTAGCTAAGTCTCTAACTTAATACCATCCAAAATCTTCAACATTGAAAACACGAATTATTTATCAAATTAAATCAACATTCATGTTGTGATTTTACCGGAAACAGATGGACTTTTGATATCCAATATTTAAGACAAAATAAACATTTTACCATTGGTACACGTCGTGTACCATAATGCGCTTCAGCCCCAGTTGTATCAAGAGACTCGAGGGACGGGGCTAGACACATTGCACCAAATCAAACGGCGTATGTAGACTGGAATAACCAGACGCTGTATAAATTTGCACTCGCTTGAAACTGCTGGCTTATTTCGCCGAACATTACTGATTTGAAATTGGAGTAAAAACGGAAACCATTGAATGTAAATCAGTTTATATACATTCATATTACAGTATTATATGCGTTGCGACCCACTTTTGTCAATTTCTAGGTTCCAAATGTTAGCGATTTAGCTCCTTTAACATAATATATATAAATAATAAACCAATTCCTATTGAAATAAAGGTGAAGCCTTACCGCATAATTACATGATATGAAACCCAACTGCTACGCGAAATGTCTCGACTACCGAACTTATTTCAACTGACGGCGGCTTTCACATTATAAGAAACATCGCTTTGAAAATGTAGAAAACGCATTACCACAACAGAGAGAAAAAACAACAAAAAAAAAACAAAAAAACTGCTCGGTAACTATTTTAGTGGTCCAGTCTTCACTATTTGTGAAAGAATTACTTATTCCAATACAAACTGTAATGATATGAGTTGACAATTGTGCGTTTGAACCTATTTAAACTTGCGTAAGGAGTCTTAGACTATATCAATTGTAGCGTTAAACACAGTTTAACGATACGTTTAATTGTAGCTTCTCTATCTTGTGTGACATTTTTGGGGCATCGATTATTATTTTTAAAATTTTACGGTGGACAACCCCGGTACCCCAGCTTCGTCTGTGGGGACAGACCCCCCTTCCCTTAAAAAGTTCACCATCTTTCCGTAGCCAGCAGGCGAGTTACGGGCCAGGGGCCGGTTGTTTAAAACTAAGTTATTTTAACGATCCGTTGTCTTGCTAACCTAGCTGTCGTTTGTTAACGGTCCGTTAAATTTCTATTGCTGAAATGTCAATTTCATTATCCGTTAGCCAAAAGATTGATTATAGTTAATCCAAGAGTAGACTGTTTGTTCATTGGCTGAATTTTAAATTCAATGTACATGTATAACAACTTCATAGAAGTTAGTATTAAGGTAAATCAAGTATGTTTCTGTAAACTACACGTACGTCGGGAGTTTGTATTACTATTACACGTAAATATTTAAGAAGGAATTTTGCTTTACGGTACTTTATACACGTAAAACTTACGTGTTGCATGTGCAGAATGTTTGAGAAACCGAATAAGTTGTTGATTAAGTTTAGGTCTAAAAATACTCGTACGAATCTTTGAAAAAAGAGAGAGAGAGAGAGAAATGCGGTTTAAAGTCCACTCGACACAAACTAGGTCATTTCGTGACTAACACATGGTTCAATTTTTATTTCTATAATTCGCTTGCTCGTAGGGGTCTTTAGCAGTGGGAGGAAACCGGAGTACCCGGAGAAAACCCACGAGGTTGGACTGGCGACCCTACTCCTTATCACGTACAACCGGTGATTCGAAACCACGCTATGTTGACTCCACGACAGACCTTATACAGCACGCGCGCGTGCCAACCCTGCCATCGAACCCCTCTCTTTGAAAAAAAAGGTATATAGACTCAAATAGACTATCATCGCCTCGTTCCTCGGGTCTCTTGCTAGAACTGGGGCTGAAACGCATTATGGTACACGATTCGGGTACCAATGGCAAAATGTTTATTTTGTCTTAATATTGGATATCAGAAGCCCATCTTTTTCCGGTAAGATCACAGCATCAATGTCGATTTAAATTGACAAATAATGTGTGTTTTCAATGTTGAAGATTTTGGATGATATTGAGTTAGAGACTTAGCTACTTTAATCTAATCCAATCTATTCTTAGCAACGAGCACCTGTTTGGGGAGATAACTCTAACGTTTCCCAGGAGGCGCTGTGATTTGTTTATAAGACTAAATAACATGCATTTATTTTCTGATGTGATAAGATTTATTTTTTAGACTAGCTGACTTTTGTTCACAGAAACGTTATCCTGTTGGAATCAGCAAAATGTCCGCGTCGTCTATTTTAGAAAAAGATGACCAAGAAATCAAAGACGTGAAAGAAAACATAAAAATTTCTCGAGGTCCGAGACAAGAAATTGAACTTGAAGATGTTGAGCTTGCCAAAGTGGCCAATATGTCTGTTTATGATGAAAACGGAAACAAAATTAGATTTGGTGATATTTACAAGAAACAGAAAACGATCATAGTATTCACAAGGGTAACTAACTGAAATATTAATTTACAATGTGTGTGTGAAAGTTTGATTGATATCAAGATACAGATGAGATATTTCTCCTGTCCACGTGTGGTTCATAATTAGTGCACATACTTGGAATTGAGTGAATATTTAATAAGCCGCATCTTTTATAGGCAAACCTTCATTTTGAATTTCCAAACATCTACCACTTCCACTGTTCATAGAGACATTGTCAGGTGATGTTGACAAATGATGGCTGCACAACAAATGTTATATTGATTCCATTTTACGACATTTTGTTGTTTTACGTTCTGTTTTGACTCAAATTTCAAGACATTGCAAAAAATAAACAAGTACCAAATCAAGTGAATGGCCTACTACTCGCTTATAACCCTGTTCAGACGTGGAAGTTAAACTGGGTTAAAAACCCAGGCAATCGTTGAACCCATTTAACGTGACTGCAGGTCTAAACTGAATGCAAATGTGGGCCAAATAAACCAATTTAAAACGCGGCCCTAGCTCTCTAACTGTCTTCCAGAAAGGTTTTTGTTAAAAGCTGTTGATTCATGGACGCCTTAACAGGTTGGCTTAAAATCTATCGGCTCAAACTACCAGCAAATTGACGATTTGTGCCCATGTACGTGTGGTTTTAACTCTTAACCTTTAACCGACGAGATCAAAATACTTAAACTGGTTTGGTTTATAGTATTTCTGAATCCAACACTATCCAGCTTTAAAATCCCCTGCGATTTCGAACTAGTTTAGATATAAGCATCTTAATGGGTTTAGCTTCCTCGCCAACACCCCAGTTTATAATAGTTTTGTCAGGGGCGGTATGGTTTATATTCTGCGTGCCTGTTTATTCCATTCATGAACTGATAGTATCTGTTCGTTTGATGGGACTCAAGATAGATAAAAGATCTATAAATCAGTCCATTCTATCGATCACTCCCCAGTCGGATGTTTCCGTATTCCCTTGATAAGTTAACACCTTTAACGTTCCCTTAAGTCTCTACAACCATGTGTAAATGGTGGACGTGGGATTGTACAATTGCAATGTTCGCCCAAAAACAGATTTGGCTTCACTCAATAATTGCCAGTGGTGCACAAGAAACTGAGCACAACAGCAGAAATGGGAAATATCTGGATTTCAAATTTTACCTGGTATTTGTATTTCTTAAGTCAGTTCTCATATGGAACTTATTTTATAACAGTGTAGAATTGATTTATCCTGTTGTTTCACTTGCAATTTGTCATGGAGCTTTATAATCAATACAGTAGTTTATTATTTGTAGATTTGGGCTATTTCTTTTTCCTTTATTATTATTGTTAAGTCTGTTAAATGTACTGTATTTTAAGTTATGTATAACTGACATTTTACTTCAAGACTTGTCAGATCATTACTGCAGTTTATAAGGTGGGGTTGGATGGCCAAATGGCTAGCATGTGCGCTCTGTATTATAAGGTCTGTCATTGAGTCAACTGGCGTGGTTTCGATTCCCCGGTGGTACGTGACAAGAAGTAGGGTCGCCTGTCAAACTCATGGGTTTTCTCCAGGTCCTCCACTTTCCTCCCACTGCTAAAGACCCCTACGAATTATTGAAATAACATTGGACCATGTGTTAGTCCCGAAATGACCTAGTTTGTGTCGAGTGGACATTAAACCCCATTTCTCTATCTCTCTCCTGTAGTTTATACCTTAATAATATGTTATAACCTCATCTCTCTCTCTCTCTCTCTCTCTCCTGTAGTTTATACCTTAATAATATGTTATAATAATATTACATTCCAAAAATTAATAATGGTGTGTTTCACTTTATTGAATTTCCAAATTTTAATTGCAGCATTTTTTATGTTTCATGTGCAAGGAGTATGTTGAAGGTAGGACAATATTTGGCAATTGAATGTAGGCCTACATGTATTTAATTAAGTAACGAGTTATAATCATTTTGAGATATCATATTAAGGATCACAAATGAATGATTTTGTAATTATTGTTTAGTCTCTGAAGTTTGAACGTCATTTAAAAATTTCTTGCAAATTACAAAACTGTGACAGTTGAATCACTAAATGGAATATCTGTCCAAAATGGTTCAATTTTGTTTAGTATTTGCAAAGATACGATAAATGGAAAATGTACAGACACAATATAAATGAGACTATAGTCAAAAGGCTGATCCACCTGTAATCTTCGCTAAAATCTCTTGATGGGCCTCTTTTTAATCTGATTGAATCCACACTAAGAGATTTAAATCTACTGTGAGCTACAGTGACTCAGTGAGTAAGATGCTGGCTCACAAACCAGGAGGGCTGGTGTTCAATCCTGGTGTTGGCTGAGGATTTTTCAGCGTGGTTTCTCTATGTCAGTGGTGTAGGACAGGGGGCCTGGCATGCAATAGCATCTAATCATTTGGATGGGGCAAAAAAACAAGGTCTCATGTACGTGTTGACATGAATGTAAAAGCATCCTTGACAGTTGGAGTTCAATTGCTGTCCAGGCAAAATTTCCCACATAACACACTAATGTGTGTCTGTCTTCATTAGCCCAGTTGGTGAAGAAAAGTACTACTGTTTATGTTTTGATTTTGTTTTCTTTATTAAATATGAAATAATCAAATGGAGTACATTTAAGTATGGATTAGGTTGTGGAAAAATTGATAATTTGCAAAACAGATGCACAAAGTCTTTAATTTTTATGATGTAGAACAATTGACCCGTTAAGTACTACGTAGGTCGTTATATAACGTCCTAGACAACTGCCACTCACTGACGTGTGTGTAGGGTGTAATATAAGGCCTTGGAGGTATTTTCCCCAACCTATTCTTAGAACATAGTTCGTCACTTGGGAATTCCCCCACGATCGCAGCATGTGGAGGATGTTATATTAGGTCCTGGACAACTGCCACTCACTGTGTGCAGGGCGTAATATAACGCCTTGGAGGTATTTTCCCCAACCTATTCTTAGAACATAGTTCGTCACTTGGGAATTCCCCCACGATCGCAGCATGTGGAGGATGTTATATTAGGTCCTGGACAACTGCCACTCACTGTGTGCAGGGCGTAATATAACGCCTTGGAGGTATTTTCCCCAACCTATTCTTAGAACATAGTACATAGTTCTTCGTCAAATTAATTACACAATAGAGGGTAGTTAACGTTTTTAAAACATCATGCTTAACGGGTTAACATTCTGTTGAAATAATTATTGACATCTCTGAATATTTAATATATCCTTATGCAATTACACATGTAATAGAAATTATATTTATTGATCTTTTAGACCTTGCTTTGATACCACTGGAATACTTACAGGTAAGTATTTTAAATGTATTTCTGCACGAAAGTCAATTATTAATTTTATTTATAGTATGCTCTACTCGACATACCATTGTTCCCCATTATCTTTTTATATTGACATTTTTAATCAGCTGTAGAAAAAAATAATAATTTCAATAACCGAAACAAGTTTGAATAATCTGGTTACATTTTTAGGAAAAAAATATTTATACTCTAATCTGATTTTGTAGGCAGCAGATGTAAGACTTGTTGTGATTGGCCCAGCACCACATAAATTCATCAAAGTAAGTTGAACCTGTTTTCAGTGTTATTTGAAAATTATTGTTTTATTTTGTGATGCAGCTGAAATTTTCTCAAAGACATTAATTGAAATGAAATATAATGAAGTGAAGCTTAACGTCCTACTTTTCTTCACCATGCAGTGTACTATGATGAAAATCTTGCCTTGACATGCAGCGTTTCTGCCCACTGTTCTCCGTATTCCAATTGCCATTGGTTCTTTTAATTATGTGCACGCCAATGTGTATACATGGTACCTCATTTTTTTTATATCCCATCTGAACGACTAAACGACAGATTATGTTTCTTACCAGGCCATCTGTCCTGCACCACTGAGAAGTGAACCAGCATCTTACTCACTGAACCACTGTGACTCCCTCATCGATTGAAGTATATATAAATGTATATAAAGAACAAACTAAATAAATTTTGTAGTTAGACCATAGGTTTGTCTGACTCTTATTGTTTTCTCTTTACAATGTATTATCTACTTGCCATGTTTCCGTTATGAAGATTTTCGTTTGAAACAATAGATCTGACTTCCAGGTGGATTATAGCCTATATGTATGCCTATCGGTTATGTGCCTCATTATTGTGCACATTATCTTATAATAATTTCATTTATTCATGTATTTTATAGTCTTTCCGTGAGGCGACACGATATAACTACACTTTATATTGTGATCCTGACAGGGAAATATACAAAGCTTTTGGATTAAGTGAGAAATTAACCTCAGGTTCTTTAAAAGGTGGGTTTAGTTTTCTGATTCCACTAAATGAAAACGCCATATCAATCTTTTTAGTTTTTCAGATGTTTGAATCTTGTATAATTCCAAAGCAATGACAGTACACATTATCAGCTTTTTATCCATTGCACTGGATAGCAATTATTGGTGAAATATTTCATTTTCACTGGTCTACTTGGTTTGGTGGCAGACAAATCATAATAGCCGATTCGATGTTTAGTCTTCTAAGACAACAATGGAAGATATGTAATCAGAAAACCGTTTTACATTTATGAATGAAGAAACGAATATTGGATCTCTGCCAACTTTCATGTGTTTTCACTTCAATAATTTGCAATACACTGAATAACAAATAAGATTCTTCAAAGTTGAGTAGTCCTACTGAATATTCTATCTATCTACATGTGTATGATTTCAAAGATGAACTTTAAAAACTAGGTATAAATATCATCATGTAGTTTTGATCTTGATGAAATTATCTATATTCAAAGTATTATTAATTTTATTACAGGTAGTAAACATATAAAATCTGGGTTCATTATGGGTGTATTAACTAGTACATGGAGAGCTATGAAGGTACGGGAATATCAAGGCGATGTTAAACAGCAAGGAGGAGCATTTATTCTTGGTCCAGGTAAATTAACAATTTGATTGATTTTATACCGCCGCATATTATTGTGGCTGTGTATTGTTGTTACCCTTGTCCATTGGCACTTGCTTGTAATCACCTTATAGATTTTCAACAATTTCTATGGGCTAAATTTATCATCCAATTAACTTGAAATTATACACATTGTTTATGTTCTTAAGATGAAGAATCCTATTGATTATCACAAGATCTGTAAAGTGATCGTTATCTGAAATAATCTGAAAGAAAATGACTAATGAGCCTTGAATCGTAAACAACTGCAGAGCCAGGAATATTAAATTGGGATTAACCTTGTTATGATATGTGTGATTTACTCAATCTCATTAAGTTCTTCAGTATTTTCCTTTTTTTGTGTTCTTTTATATAACAATATATCATTAATTCTTTCAGGTGATAAGCTTCAATTTTCTCACATAGATCAGAGTTCGACAGATCATATAGCAATCAATGATCTATTACATGAAGCGGGTGTTCAACCAGTCAGTTTCCCTAATGATCCCCGAGTATTACAGATATAAACTCATTACAGTTCTTGTCATTTATATAATGAGTTGCAATTTGGTGCTTATGAAGGGGACATTTAATTTAGTAAGCATAATGAATGGAAATAATTGTATCACCATTGTAATGTGTACGTAACAGAGTGAACGAAGCAGTTAATTCAAAGGAAGGAAAGCTAGATTTTGCTTTAGTTCATTTTGAATTTGTTTCAAACTAAATCAAAATTTATTTCATAATTCATTTACTGTGTGGTTTTTTTATTCAACCACATATTGGCAATGATTCTTAATTCTTGTAAAAACTAAATACCAGTGGGACTGTTGGAAGGTGTGGTAGTTTTTGTCCAAGGCTATATCAGTGACAGGCAGTAGAACTGCCTGCCTAACATCACAGATTTTCTTTGGGTTCTCCATTATCTCCTGTCAACTTATGAACTGGTATCTACTGAAGATTCCAAAAAATAGTCTTTTTATGGTGAACATTTTTTGTCTGTGGCAGCCTCTGAACTTTGGAATGAATCTCCATAAACACAAAAATAAGTCTCAGTATATTAAAATAAACTAAAAGTGAATTATTTGTTAATGTTTTTAATTGACTATATATATGTTTTTTTCATAATATGTACAACCGTTTATATTTCCTTCACAATTATATAAATGAATTATAACACATACTTCTGGAAAACAGCTACTGATTTATTTAGGTATGTTTCGGAGAGTATTCTCTCAACATTTTCAAGCTAATACAATGTAACAAAATTTGAAGCAACATATGTAGACAAAACTACAACAACAAAGCTGAAACTATACACGGCAACTAACATGATCAGTAGCTGTTTTTCCAAAGTATGTGTTATAGTTTATTTATCTACCCAGTTACTAAATGCCACTTAAAGAACACAATTATACTGTACTTTTATATTTACATTATGTTTTCTGTTTAGTATATATTTTATTGATTCATTTTGTATATTTTGTTATTGCTCTGACACTATGGAATGCGCTTCCACTTAAAAGTGTACACAACATAAACATTTTCAAAAAGAAACTAAAAACTCATATTTTTTACCAAATCTTTCGTGATTCCCCAGTGAGATCTTTAAACCTTATTCTGATGTGACAGTAATTCTTTTTCAGGCCATTATGAATATTGTAACAGTGCACCAGAGCAGCTAATCTAGCTGAATCTTGGCGCTCTATAAATGTCCATTATTATTATTATCATTATTTATATATCATCGCAGCATAGTCTGAGTTTTGTCAAATTTTTCGTGGCAACCCAAAAATTCCAATTTTTATACAATAAAGACGTAGAAATTGGTTGACCTTTTATCCACTGGAATTTCAGATATCATACAGTAGATGTTTAACAAAAATTCCATAAGACATTTAACAATAATGGCTATGTTAGGTTTGTTTGTAATGCTTTGTTTGGTAAGACATAAATTGATTTATTCAAGGAAATACAACATTTTCAAGCTTATTTATATTTTTTGGAATGACCCATATTTTATATTCTTAAACGATATCTATAAAGCCCAAATTTAATATTGGCTTAAATATATTACAACTAGATGAAAAGATGCACAAGAAAACTGATTTTGAAGAAACAAATGAATTTCGTAAAATATGCCAGATAGACCACTTGACTCCAAACTAACTATAAATGTGCCACAAAGCAGCTGGATGTTGTCACTATATAACTTATAAGTTTAATAAATTGTATTATAAAGGTAAAAGATTATTTTGTGTTTTTTTTTTGTTATTATGAGGCTCATTTGATGGGGAAAGTACTCAATTAATATTTGCCTGTAAGTTATCATAAAGGATAGTCAAGATGAAAAGTGTTTCAAACTAATTCAATAATTGGTTTCCAACTCCAACTAATTGAAAAGCATTGACTATACTACCGAACTATGATAAACATTTATTTTGTAGGCACAAAATATGAGTTGTCAATGGGAAATAGAATTTTTAAGCAGTTTTTTCTGGGTAGCCATTGGTTTCATTGAGTAAGCGCTGGCTCATTAACCATGCTGTCCAGGGTTCGATCCGGGTTTAGGCTGAGAAATTTCCTCAGGATTAACCAGTCTGATTTCCCCCTTGTCAGTGGTGAAGGTTGAAATGAAAAATGATGCCTTGTGTACACATTACTATGCATGTTACACAACCCTTGGCAGATAGAATTCGGTAAAGATCATTAAGTGAATACATTGTCGCCCTTCATAGTGCAAGTCCGTCTTTATTAGCCCAATTGGCAGAGTAAAATTAGGGCATTAAACCCCCCTAGACCCTGCAATGATGCTGAGAACTTATAGCTAGGTATATAACAGAAAACAATTTTAATAGATTTGCCCTGCAAATCCCCAGCGGGTTGACTTGCGACCTCCAGACCTACCGTCATTTGCTTTGGCGCTTCCTACATAGGCTACTAAATCCCACTGGAGCGCTGCTTGCCAGATGATTTTTATTTAAAAGTACAATCAGATATTTGAGCAATTAAATTATTGGTTAAAGTTTGTATCGAATCTGACAGGAAGAGGCTTGACATCTCATCTACAGATATGGAGGGTCGAGCTATGGCACAAGTTTAAGCTCAAGCGTAAATTAAGTAGCCATGCACAAGTCTTTTAAGTTTAACTCAGTATACTATCATCCATACAGTCTTTGACATTGTAAATACGACTTATTGGTCAATTTAAATCAACATTGATGTTGTTATCTTACTGTGAAAAGATGGCTTCTGTTATCCAATATTTAAGACACAATAAAAATTTTAAACTTGACACACAAATCACATGCTAGAATGCTTTTGAGCGCCATTTGTAATGAAGTGACTGGATGAACGAGACCAAACATATCCCACAAGGGAAGACTACCGGAGTAGACTGGAATAACCAGTTGCCAAAGACTGCCATTCAGTTTTCACTCTTGGTATATTTTGCCAGACATAGGCCTAACTGATTAGAAATTACAGTAAAAACAGAAATGATTGAATGTAAATCATTTTATATACATTCATATTACATTATTATATGCGTTGTGGCCCTTAATTGTGACCATTTCTAGGTGCCAAAGAATAGCGATTTAGCTCCATTAAAGCTAGCTATCTCTTCTAGTTAATTAATAATGCAACTAATAGGCCTACTAATGTGTTGTAGAGTAACTACCCACAAGACTTACAACTGTATATGAGCCTACATAATGCCATATTCCTGAAGCAATGGCCCGAGGTATAATCAAACGAAACACTGTGAGGAGTATGACATAATGCAGATTTTTTGGATTTTTTTTTGGATTTTTTTATCATCGGCAGAGAGGATGGTCTATATCCACTCTGATAGACGGAAATTCACTTTTATTTAGGGATAGGACCTAAAATGGAAGTCACATAAACTATAAATGCCTCATTTTTTTTAATTCAAGTTCTTGCTCACTTTGGTTTCAAGACTGACAATTGTGTGTCTGTAGTCATTCTATTGGAACAAAAAACTACAGGTTATTTGGCTTTATGCTCATCCAAAATCAAAGTAGAAACGCCATTCACAACACAGTCAGTAGGCTAATGTCTTTCCAGTATACTGAATATTGCAAAAAAAAAAACCCAAACTATTATTAGTATTAAACATTATAAACATATAAACAATGGACCAGATGAAGTGATTAGTAGACGCCAGCATTGGCGTGTTCAAAATTTGTAACACTACTTTTACTTTATCTACTTTTGATTTCAAAATTGTTTGCGAGAGTAGCCCCCCCTTTAAAACATTCTTCAATAATGTTTTTATGACAGTATACTAACATCGTCGTATGGTGAGTGACTTTTTTTTTTATTACCATTGCTCAATATTATTTGCCTTTTCATTCAAGGTGTGCACGTTTTATTAACAGTTGAAATACTAACTCATAAGAATCGTTCTCGCTAGATTCCATTTTGATTTCTTGAAAATATGTTGATAGAGACCTAAATTTTATCGTATTTTGTAAGGATCTTGACACCGTGACTGTACTGTTACTGTACTCAAGTAGTACACATGAACAAAACACAAACAAATGAAATTGATCACTCTGAACGCATTAGGTCTATATCTGTGACAAAGTAATACGGTTGCAATACTTTTTATTCTGTTTGAATTAAATTTCAAACAAACTTCTCAAATTAAGAAATAACTAAACGAATAAGTTAGAAGTACATCATCATGATCATCATGTATACACTGTTATACATCTTGTGCAAAAATGAAACTGTAGGCCTACATAAGTACATGTATAGGGCCAATAAATATGAAAAAATAAACTATAAAGCCATGTATGTATATTGAAATTGGATAGGTATAAATCTCCAGAACAAGTCAGTTGAATGCTATAGGATAAAATGTGAACGTCAACTGTCGAAATAGGATCATCTATCCCAGATTATCTTTCACAATGATGTTAGATGTCCAAACATTGTAAGAGCTACAATCATGCAGAATGTGATGCAAATTTAAATAGAATACTTAAAAAAGAAGCTTTTACGTTGGCTTTTTTCTGACTTCAAATATAGATTAAGTCCATAGATAGTCACTAATCATCCAAAAATATATTCTACGAATATTAGTTTGGATGCATTGTCAACATTTGAGAATAATAGGTCATTGTCTAGATTATTCGGTCTTTTATTATCATAAACCAAGTCTAAGGGAGGTAACTATTCCTAAACAAAATGTTGGCGCCCATGAAATTAATTTAAAGGAGCTAAGTCGCTAATATTTGGGACCTAAAAATTGACACAAATGCGTCGCAACCAAGGGTGTGGATTTGTCATAACTTTTGGGGGGGACGGACGAACCCTGGAACCTGGAACATTTTATTACCAAACGAAATAAATAATTACGAACAGTTTACTGTTATTTCGATGAAGGCTGTAACTAGGGGTAATATGACAACAATATGGAAAAATTGACTACCTACATCAAAGCTGCATAAATATTAATTGTTCATGAAGTTAAATGAATCGTCCAAAGACGTTTGTTCTACGATCACGACTGTTCTCTTTGAATATCTTGGCGACATGAAGGGGGTCATTATGCACCGCACACGTCATCAAGTGGTTCAGTCGGTTTTCATACGGCGCAGAGTGCTGAAGGACCGCTCAGCTGAGCAGGAACTAGCAGGGTTCAGCAGTGTGAGATGGGAAGAGCTGCGACAGAAGGGAACATCTGCCTCACTTCAGGTTTGGCCGAAAACTGGCGCCTAAAGAATGGCAATTCTTCTTCCAAGTCCCAATTCAGTTCCAGATACGTAGAAACAAGTTCACCATCATGTGGATAATGGATAGAAACCTGAAAATCTGTCCTGGCGATCAAAATCATGGGGGGGGACAGAGACTTATTTGCCCCCCCCCCCCCCCCCCCCGAGAATCGGAAGGGGGGGACGCGTCCCCCCGCCGTCCCACACTAAATCCACGCCCATGGTCGCAATGTATACAATAATGTAATATAAATGTATATAAATTGATTTACATTCAGTCGTTTCTTGTTTACTGTAATTTCTAATCAGTTAGGTTCGGCAAACATATGCCAGTATTCTCAATCGTATTTCAATCTCTAGCTTCTGGTTATTCCAGTCTACGCCGATAGTATTTATTGGGCATGCTTTCCAGATAAGAATATAGCGTCACCGTTTGACATGACTTGAGGAATATGCCTAGCTTCGTTTTTCGAATCCCTTATTACAAATAACGCTGAAACGCATTATGGTAGCCTACACGATTCATGTACCAATTGCAAAATGTTTATTTTGTCTTAAATATTGGATATCAGAAGGCCATGTCGAAGATTTTGGATGATATTGAGTTAGTGACATAGCTACTTTAAGAATGCCATTTCAGAAAATCCATTTGACTGCATTGTCTGTTCACTATTCAACACTCTTAATTTTTTTTATTGTAAAATTTATCTCTTCATGTGCCATATCCATGTTTGTTTATATTAATGCAAGAATTATGGAATCTTACTTGACTTGGCCAAAGATACTGGATAATCAACCACATAAAAAAACAAACTCCCGGTTATGCATGGGCAATGGAACTTTTCGGCAAATATTGACAATGGTGCCAGATCCTCCTTACGTCGAAGACTAGGAGGTTCTGGGTGACCGAGAACAGTCCAAAGGCAAAGACTACTTAGACCAACCAACAGACCTATTGGACCTGTTAATAGAGCACTAGTACCAAGACAGAAGACCACTCCGACCAAGACAGAAGACCACTCCGACCAAGACAGTTCAAGAACATTTGGACAAAATTTCTTTCTTTCATATACTACAAAAACATCAGGATTATTGGTTAACCAGCTTTAAATATTTGGCACTTTGATCATTGCCGTTTTAATATTGTGGGACAAAAGATGAAGTTTCAGACTCGGTGCACAACAGTTGCGACTCAGGAGTCAGTTGAAAGGATAATTTTAATGATAAAACGGAAGCTGAACTTTGACATGCATTCCACGATAAGCTTGCAATAGAAGGCAGTACAAAGTCTTTTTGGAAGTAGATAAGAATTAATAACTACTCGGTTGTCGATGTATTGTTAATTGAATTTTTTGGATGTGCTTTATGCATGATGAGACACAGATAAGAAAATAACACTTTATTATTTCAAACAATGATCAGTTTTTAAAACAACACTTTTATTATTTCAAAAACATTGGTCTGAGTGGTCTTCTGTCTTGGTCCAAGTGGTGTATCAACTTGTCCA